ACCCGGCCTTTAGGGCTTTACGAGCAGATTACGGTGAAAAAATTTGAAGAGACTGGTTCCGCTACTAATATTGTAAGGCCCGTGCATCATTGCTACATTTGTTCAGCTGAAAATATCGCTGGTGGTGCTCAAAGTGTGGAGGAAGACCCGAATTCGTCGATTCCCCGACGTGCTCAACATTTGAGCTTGTCTTACGGCTCATTTTAACGAATTTTGCAATTGGATTTGAAGCTCCATCCGTACAAAGTTCAACTGACAATAACGTAAGCCTCAAGACCATGGGCAACGCAGAACATACGCAAATTGGGTGATTGAACAACAAGTCGTTGATAATGATTTTTCGAACCGAATTTTCTGCAGAACAGCCCTATATGGGGCTCTCAAAATCCTCAGATGATCGCAGAATGGCCTTTACATCCTGGAAAAAAGTATGGTGTGCATTATGGTCCTGTGGTGTTATTGGCCCGTTTTTTTTTAAACGATCAAGGAAGAGCCATAACAGTTAATTCTGAGCGCTATGGACGCATGATAACCGATTATTTTTGGAGAGAAATTGAAGATTATGATCTGGGAGACATGTGGTTCCAGCAGGATAGGGCAACGAGTCACAGAACACTGGCAGTTAGAGCCCTATTGCAAGATAAATTTCCAGGACGCATAATTTTGAAAGATCTTGTTGATGCCAACAATCCTCAAACTCTTGAGCAACTGAAAGCCAATACCCGTGAAGTTATGACCGAGATATTACCAGTAATGTGCCGAAAAGTCATTCAAAATTACCTCAAAAGGATTGACGCCTTTAGGAGGTCCCGTGGACGACATTTAAATGGTTGTATGTTGTAAATTTAAATTGGTTTTCACGTATAATGGCAAGGTTTAATGTTTGTATTGAGTTAAAATACTTGAATGCCATCCTAACTCTGCAGTGTCAATTTTTGGGATATCTTCGAAGTTTACAGTTTGGACTACTTGAATTTTCAATCGGTTTGGTTTAGATATCGGTTGGCCCTAAAGTTCTTGTAAAAATGCTGGATGGTGGATGGTATTTGCATCCCCTCTGAAACAACTTCTCCTTGTTGGCTCTTAATTTTGCATATGAGCGACTTTCCTTTTGTTCGCTTCGATCGAAGTACTTTCATATTCATGTTGTTCTCAATAGCTTCGTTTGTTATTTGTGTGTTTTAAGATCTCAGGTCTTTTATAATTGCCTTCTTTACTTCTCTATCCAGCGTGCGCGTTTTATCTTGCTGAATCTCTAATCGTTGTTCTGCGTGCTGCCAGTAGTTCATTGGTGTTCTGGCTGAATTTTATATCAGCTCTTGCTTTCATGGAACATACAGTCCGCCACACTTGATTACTCTCACCAACAGATTTAAACTCATTTTTGGTAATAGACTTAATAGTATTAGTAGTAGTTTTAATAGTAATAGTAGTTTTAATAGTATTCGTCCAACAATTCGTATTCAATTCACTCGTATTTCACAATGGAGAAATTGTTAGAAGCAACTATAATAATTGATAGTGCGACACTTGATTACTCTCATTCACTTTTTAGAATTGTAGGTTGCTAGGCACGCACAAGAAACAAAACCATGTCACTTGTCAACCGATTGACAGTTGTCTAATAGTAATTTGAGTATATTTGAGTGTTCTAAAAGTAATTGGTATTGATTGGGGCGCGGTCAAACTTTATCATTAGAAGAAAGAGGGCGAATTGAAGCTTATCGAGAGGAAAATTATTTGAAACGAGAAATTGCAAGAAAAATTGAGCACAGCTCATGGGTAATCAATGTTTATGTAAAAGACAGCGAAAACTACGGAAATAATAAACAAGAACAGACTTCAACTGCAACAACACTAAGGGAACGTCGTGTAATTTTTCGACTTGGGTAATAAAGAAATGCACAAACTTAAAAAAAAGAAAACAAGAAGCAAGAAGCCTTTGCTTCTTGCACGTCATGGACAAGAACGTTTAGAGTTTTCACGCATGCACCGTAACTGGACAGAGGAATGAAAAAATTTCTCGCTTTCACGCATGAAAAGAAGTTTAACCTGGATAGTCCTCATGGCTTCCAATATTACTTTCATGACGTGAGGATGGTATAATTTTTTTTGGCTCGCCGTCACAGTCGAGCAGGTTCAGTGATGGTTTAGGCAGCAATTTCAAGTCAAGGCAGAGTTGGCATCGAGTTTCTAGAAGGTCGGCAAAGTGCTCAAAAGCATTTGGAGTTGGTGCAACGGCAAATTGCTAACATAACAGCTTTATTTCCGGATCAAGAATGGATATTGCAACAAGACAATGCGCCAAATCACACCGCCCAAATATCCAAACCTGGTTGACTGCTAATAATATTTCAGTTCTGGAGTCACCAGCTATTTTCCCAGATAAAAATAACAGAACAAATATCATAGAAAACTTATGGAGTTGGTTGGTCAAACGCGTTTATACTGAAGGAAGGCAGTTTAATAATAGAGAACAATTAATAGCCGCTGTTACGCCGCTTGGGACAAAGTTCCAGGGAATCTAATAGAAAATGTATTCAATTCATTGCCTCATCGAATGTTAGCAATCATTGAGAAGCAGGGAGGCATACCAAATATTAAAATCAGTATTAGGTTTAAATATTGTGTTCTAGGTTCATTCCAAAATATGAGAGTAATCAAGTGTTTCATTAAAAATTACAATATTTGCTTTACAAATAAAAATCAATTGTAGAATACGAAAGTATAAAACAAATTATTAAATAAATATTGTTAAAATATTTAATCTAGTGTTTGATGTAGCTTACTGAAGAAAATTTTTAGCATTAGTGAAAACTAGTCAAAATTATTTGGTGGGAGTAATCAAGTGTCGCGCACTGTACTTTATTGGGAGCTACCTGAATACTGCCCGATATTGCTCTGTTGAGCGTCATATTTCTCAGAGCGTCTGTTGGTTCTAATTTTTGTTGATTTGTGCATTGTAATTCTCTATTTTCCCTTTAAGTTGGGTTGCGGTTGGTGTGTTTATTTTATTGTTAAAATGTGTGTTTATTTTATTGCGGCTCTTGCGATTCAGTGGTCACTTCCAGTATTAAAACGGCTGAGAACCGATACATCGGTGCAAAACTGTGTATCTGAAGTGAGGACATAATCTATTGCTTTCTTTATTGCGCCACGTAGACTTCTCGAAGTCCACTTTTTTGAGGCTGTTTGTTAAAGAATGTGTTAATGCAGTACATTTGTTCTTTGTTCAGGAAGTCAAGCAACATTTCGCTTCTATTATTTCGTGTTCCCAGTCCAGTTACCGTCTGTCGCAGATTATGTTAGTCCAATTAGCAATTGCCCATTATAATTTTGAACTTCGTGTTTTCTTGGTTTTTAGCTGTTGTTAGGTCTTCATAAAATTGCTCGATGTTTTTGACTGTTAATGTGGATGGGGGTGCGTATACCTGTATGATATGTATGCTGTGTATTTTGATAAGTTTCAGCATAATACAGGGTGATTCAAAGTTAGCGTCATTCCTCTAGAGGTGTTGTCTGGGAGAGTCCTGGTAGTACAAAAAATTGAAATGTTTTCCAAGGTAATCTGACTAATTAACATTACGTAAATACCTGTTCCTTCGTAATTATTAAAAACTCCGGTAACCATGGATAAATACGAAGCAAAGAAAATCAAAGAGATAATAACATGCGTTGGGGTTAGGCTAACGGTGTCACCTTGCCGTCAGTGCTGCGACAAAACGGCCCCCCGAGTGCTGCCATCTTTTTGGGGCAAATGAGTGATTGGGGCAAATAAAATAGGTCACAACTGCCAGCCAATTAGGTATTTTCCCATAACTAATCGCATATTCCAAATTCGCTGTTGGTTTACATTTTGTGAAAGGAGCTTCAAAATAAGTCACAGTTTGACAAATGCTTGTTATTATTGACAAAGGCAGTCTACCTGTATCTATCTATTAATGACAAAAAACATCATTGCCGCTTTGACTTTTCATCAAAAAATTGTAGAAGAGTACTTTTTTAATATTAAAAATTTTCGTAATTTGACAAAAAGATCAAAATTTTTCTTTTTGATATCTTAAATATTGAAATAGGCTACCGATTAAACGTGGGACCTTTTGTCCCACGTTTGTTGAAAAGTTGAAATTCGGTCTTCAACTGTTAATATCTTCCTCAAATTTTCCACTCCTCCTATGTGGTATCTTGTACCGGAATTCGTTTGAAAAAGCAGATTGCCAAATTTCAAAATCATACACTGCACACTATACTCTATCCAAATGCTCCGTTTCAAGGTAGATATGTAAATTATGATTTACCCCAGCTCCTGACTGGTGGCATAATTGTCCGTTTAAATGAATGTGTATCTATATAAAGCAACCTATAGGATTCGAACTTAAAAAACTTACATATATGATTTGAAAGCTAAACAGGAGTTCTTATATGTTGAAGAAATCCCCCAACACTGAAACCAAGAGTTTTTTTTGAATTCCTTTGGTTTTTGCCGATTAGGAAGTGACCTGAGCCAGTTTGTCGGAAGGTTTCCAAATTTTGAAGCTTATTTAGTGATTACATGAATCACCCACAAAGGGAGGGAACTATTCTTCCACCTTCAATTGCAGATTTCGCGGTCGCTAATTTCAGGCTAAACCCAGATGAAGAGAGCTAATAGGCTCGAGACCGGTTCTAGGGGTGCCTGATTTTGCCGAACCTCGAAACTTGCACTATCTTACATGATTTCTTGTTCAGATATTACGCACGAAATTTTTGTCTTCATTTAATTTTTCTGTCTCAACGTGCATCAGCTAGGGCCTTTTTAAGACATGTACTACACAGAACATAACAAAAACTTGCAAGTTTTGCAAGAATAATTTGCAGCAAGTTTCTCAAACTGAAGATGCCTCCTGACTAAATACTTACTATACCTTTGAGATTCATACAGGATCTTGTCCATTATATTTAAAGTAGTCATGGTTTTGTACATTTTTACCAACACATCTTCACTTAAGTTGGGTTCCATTTGCTGCGCTGCCACTTGCCCTTTCCTATTCAATACTCTGTATACCGGAATCGGTGCATATGAAGAAGGCTTTGTAAACTGTAGCTGCTCCGTCCATGTTGTTTTGGCTCCTGGGAAATTCGGGCAGTCTGAATAGTTTTTCTAAAAACGTAATAATTCACAAGCTTAGATGTATTTTTTTAAAGGAATTTGGCCAATATGAACTACTTATAAAATTAATGTAACAAAATAGGGTTTGGTGTGATCGTCAATAAGGTGGGTACATTTTCAATATACGGAAGAATCAATTAAGAAATGTTGTGTAGTATACAATTTTATGCTTCCATTCTTTTTCGGTGCACCGAGTAGCAAAGTTTACTGCTGATTGTAGATAATTTCGATCTTTTTCAATAGCACTTCATGAAGTGTGTAAAATATAATAAGTTCAATATAGCACTGTTTATCTTGGACAACCGCTGTAGCAAAATATCGCAAGTTTAATATATGTTTTTTCTATTAAAAAACCTTTAGTTTACATATAAAACACCTCCCATATAAGACATTGTTACACACTGTTGTTACATTGTTAGTTTTCAACAATTTTTTTGAAACCTGTTATTAAGGCTTGCGACGGTACAGGTATAGTATATCGTACTTCGCCCTCCTTGGTTTCCTCCTTCTAAGAAAATTGCCTGATATATTTTTCTTCAGCTCTGTAAGCAACCTTGACTACTACAACTACTACAGGTAATAAACAGCATAATAAGTAAATCGTCGTGAAGCACTGATAATGTATATGACCACTTTCAGTTCTGAATGTTTTAACAAACCTAATAAAACCGCTGCCTTTTGTTGCAAATGTTTTTTAAACATTGTGTAGAGTCGTTGGGGGACATCTTCTAAATCGTAAATTCCGGTTAATGCTAAAATCCATCACTAGTACGCCTTTGCAGGTGATAACCAGTGCGTGTTTGCACGTGCGACTGACTTCACATGATCGTCACAAGTCAGTTCGCATAAAATTATCTCAGGTTTAGTAATCCTTAATTCTCAAAAGGATCTAAACTGCTCAAAGTGTATTTTTGGGCTCTGCGACTCTCTCTCTTTCTCTCTTGCGTCTCTGTCAGTGTACGGTTATATTGCCCAGCCGATAATTCAGAGACATTATTTAGTTGGGCAAAGAAAACATCGCGAGATCCTTAAATTAACACAAATCCCCCCCCCCCCGCAATTGGGTACTGCAAGCCGATATATGTTTGTCCTGCAGTCCGGATAATTTTGGCGCAAGAACCTACATTTTCGAACCGCGGGCCGAATTGTTTTGCCTTTGCGAGACCCTACTTAACTGCGATCATTATTCCTGTTCAAAAAGATGGTGAAAATTATACATTACGTAATTATAGTACAACTGCAATGCAACCTGTGTTGTCAAAAATTATTGAAATTGTATTAGAAAATCGCTTTATGCGATTTCTTCTCATACATGGCATATTATCACCAAAGCAAATCGGATTTGCACCCAACCAGTGCACCGGTAATGCTTTGCACCATGTTTTCGTTCCTTAATAATGTTTCTTCTTCTTTTTCTTCGGTTAGCTCTACAACCCCGGGTGGGTCTTGGCTGTCTGTACTAGTTTCTTCCAGTATTCTCATTCTTCCATGAGGTCTGTATCGAAAGGAACGCCCATTTTCAGCAGTATTTTTCTCTCCATCGCATGCGGGGGCGGCCCAAAGGTCTTTACCTGCTGGGGTCTCTTCCCATATCAGTTTCACCAATCTCTCTTCCTACATATTTCTCCATTACAAAAATGTCGCCCGAGCAGGGACGTTTCTTCTGTTCTTCTTTCAGGTTTTCCCGTTCTTCCCGTTTTCTTTTCTCAATTTCCCGGAAACTATTACAACACTCAATCAAAAAAAGTACATAAGGTAAAACTGCAGTCACACATTGGCACCTAGATTTTGCAACCGGTGAAGTGCTGCTGGCGTAAGCTTATTTAGTTCCTCCAATCGCCTAATTGAGCACGAGTTGAGTATGTGTATTATGGTTTGTAGGGCTTCCCCACAGATGGGGAATCTACTGATCCCCATTTGAAGACTATGTGATGGCATCTCCCGTGCCCGTCCTGAACCTTTTAAGTACGCTCCAGGTCCTCTTAGGCAGATCCATACCCGAGACCTGAGCAGACGGATCCACGATAGTGTCCCGATTCTTGAAGCTAGGGTGGTCATTAAAGTAATGATTTCACTCAGACTTGACATCAATTAGGCCAATTATGCGATTGTATGATCACATTGGTGACCTCAACTTGAGTATTAGGCGAAGAAGTCACGGTTGTAACTGATCTTTTCTCGCTCACGACATGCAGCGGTCAGTCTACGGACCGGAGGAGGTGAGATATGCGACATAGTAGACATCCAGGGAGTGGGTGTTGACCTTAGAGATCCAGTCACAATGCGCATACCGTCGTTTATATAGTATCTCACAATTTTTGAGTATGTTTGCTGCTACGCCAGACAGGAGCACAGAACTCTGCTGCCGAGTATGTCAGGGCCACTACAGCAGTCCGCAAAATTCTTGTATTTTCACCCCAGGAAGAGCCCGCCAGTGTCCGAGGCCTGTTATTTTTGGATTTTACCTTATGTGCGACTCGAGCGACGAGAAATGTGTTACGCCGAGGTATGTTGAGTTGGCAATGCGTCTGATCCTTGATCCAGAAAATTAAACCTCCACTGGATGCAATTCTGTTTGAGAGATGGAATTAACAGATGTCGGACTTAGACGGGTTAGTCTTTAACCTCCACTTTTTATAGTAAGCATCAAGTCTCGACAGGTTGGAGGAGAGGACGGTCTCGGCTGGCTCCAGGTCTTTGTCTTAAAGGCACAGTACCATATCATCAGCATACATTAATTTTCGCAATGTGGTATACTCGGCATATCGCCTATTTAAATATTGAACAAGCTGTAAACATGAGCTGGGCCAACACAGATTCCTGAGGAGGCCGTTTTTAATAGTGCTTGGGTGGCTTGTATTACCATTTATTGCCACTACAACATGGATTGGACAAGGGAGGTTATTTTATGGCAAGGAATGATTTTCTGCAGTTTGTAGATCATCTTCTTTCTCCAAACGGTGTTATAGGCAGACGACATATCGCTGAAACCCTGTTTCGATATGGGTAGTCAGGGACAGCACCTGGTTTGCCAGTTTCTATCCGCTCTGAATACGGCCTGTTCAATCTGGACTTCACTATTTGCTTTAATGCATATTCTAATAAAAATTAGCCGTTCGAGTACTTTATAGCATATATATAATAGATACATCGGTCTGTAGCTGGCCAGATTCTCGGGGGGTTTTCCCACTTTCAGAACGGCTAGGACGCTCGATTTTCTAAAGATGTTTGGAATCTCTCCCCTATACAACAAATCCGAGTCAAAATTAGCAAGCTAAGTTCTTGCGTCTGCAAGACTCTGGCTTGCAAGAAACTGCCAAGGTTTTCAAGCAATTCAGGGAAGACCTTGTCAATGCCGGGGGCCTTACGAAGTTTCAGTCGAGATAAAGCACAATTCACTTTCTCGAGACCGAAGGCAGCAGACAATTCAATCTGCAATGGCAGGCGGCCAAAAGTCTCCTTCACCTCAGTTTTCACCCTGCGTGCAAACTTTTTGTCAATCGGGACACCACCACTTTTTATGATGAAAAGACGCTTAATCACCGGCACTTCAGGATAAGGACTTTGATAAAATCCTTATCAAAATATCACATGGCAATTCTAAAGATACAAAGAAAACATGCAGTAGGATAAAATAGAGATCAGATACTAAATTAAGACCAGAGACGATGGAACTAATAAGGAAAAGAAGAAAGACTAACAGGGATTCCCCAGAATGTAATATCCTAACAAAACAACAAAAAAAGAAGTAAGGAAAGATCTAAGTGAAAGCAAAACAAACAAAATCCTGGAAACTATAGAGAAAAATAAAGGCATGAGAATTCTAGGATCGAACCAAGAGAGAGGAAAACAGAAAATTGTAAAAATAAAAAACAATCAAGGAATCTTAATCACAGACTAACAAGAAATTAGAAGGAAAATACAAATATTCTACGATCAGCTGTACCAAACAACTATACCAAGCCCGAATGGACCACATAAACACATTCCAAACGCTGCAATTGGTAGAACAAGCAGGCTTTCTAAAGGGCTTTTGCAGTCATCGAGAAAACAACGTACTCCTACACCTGGCGTTTGTGGACTACCAGAAATCATTGGACAGTGTTGAAACCTGGTATTTTCTAACAGCAATGAAAGATGCGAGAATCGACTCGAGATACTCTACCCGTATTAAGAATATCTATGATAAGGCAACCTTCACGTAAAAATAGACGACGATCTTAAAACAGACAGAAGATCACTTCGCAAAGGAGTACGACGGGGGATAAGATATCTCCCAAGCTGTTTACCCTAGCACTGGAAAATGTGTTTAAGAAGCTCGAATGGGAAAACAAAGGCCTAAACATCGATTGAGTATATCCAATCACCTTAGATTTGCAGATGATATAGTTAGTCTTGATGAACACCAGGACATTCACAAACTGAAATACATGCTAAATGAGTTAACCGAGCAATCCATAGAAGTAGGCCTGAAAAGTGAACATAAACACGACCGAAATAATGAGCAAAAATGAATGTAACATCACCATAGACAATGTTACCATAGAGAATGTAGAACAGTACATATACTTGGAACATCAATCAAGCTGAGTAAAGAAAACCAAACTGTGGAAATCAAACGCAGGATCGATTTGCATCGGTGGCATTCAAAAGCATGAACTTTATTTTCAAAGATAAAAAGATATCCATAAAACGAAAGAAGAAAGCCTACGATAGCTATGTTCTGCCGGTTATCATTTACGCCTTGGAAACTATGGCAATAACCCGAAAAACAGCTGAGCAACTGAGAGACTCACAGAGAGCCATGGAGAGAATAATCACCTTGAGGGACAAAATGCGAAATGAACAGATGGCCGTGGCCAAAACGTGATAGGTGGCAATGGATCAGACAGTGGCCAGACAGATATTCCCCAGAATATAATACCCTTATATGAAAGTTCCAGGGTCGAACGAAGACAGGGAAAAAGAGAATATTGTGAAAATTACAAGGAATCCTAATCACCGGCAACCATAAATTAGAAGGGAGATACAAATATTCTGCAAACAGCTCTACCAAACAACTATACCATGACCAAATGGCCACCTAAATAAATTACAAACGTAGGGTCACAAGACATGCCGAAAATATCACCATCAGAAAGTAAATACGCACTACAGCAGATGGAAAATGGAAAAATTCCAGGAGAAGATCGAATAACACCGAAAATGCTAAAGGTGGTGGAACACACTAATAGAGACAATAGGAATAGAATAGTTTCCAGGTAGATGAACCCAGAAAACAGCTAAAAGTATGGGCACGACCGAAAAGAAATGGATAGACGATGTCAGAACGGTAGCTGGAGGACAATGGATGAGATTAGCGAGAGATCGCGGGACATGAAAACACCTGGAAGAGGGTTATATCCGACATTGGATAAAAACGGGCTGAAGAAAAAATGGCAATCGCCCTACGGCTGCAGTCTTCTGTGACTGTGTGAGTAACAACATCTTGATAATAAAGCTTAATTGTTATGGAATGCGTTGCATTTCTTCCAAACTGGTCAAAGTCGTATCTGGGGGAGTCGCCTAGGGTTCTGTACTTGGACCTATTTTTTGTCTGCTATACATTAATGAGATTGCCTACTTAAAAATTAATGACAAAATTACCCTCTTTGGCAACGGAACAAGCATAACATGCAGCTCAAACTGTAACTTACCACCCTGCATTTTGAGGTTTCCAACGATCTGTTACGAACCAGGCTTGACGCGATTTTAGTTTTTTTGGGGTTTGGGCATAAATACGGTATTTTTTAAATATCTTAAGCAAAAACTGGTGGTATTCTAAATGTGCAAACCGCGCCTTTGCAAAAGGGAAATCAAAACATTCAATTGAAAAAACATTTTATTAAAACAGTGTGGTATTTATCTATTTGCTGTGGTATCTTTGAAAACAAATGTTCTCTTTACCCAAACATAATGGCACTTGGCAAACTACTCTGGCTTGCTTTATAGAGCATATCGTCGTCTTGAACCTCTTGCCGGTTGGTGGAGCGAGGAAGTTAGTCGGATGTTTTCCGGTACATATGGTTTGGATTTTTTGACTTGAATAGGGGAGGATAATAATTCCGACATTTTTTGTTTTCCAATGTACGGTGGTCGACGCAACTAAACCGTTGATAATACCTCTTTGAAAATCTGTGGCTGACACTTTTGGTGAGTTTAACAACTTATAAATGCAAAAAGCGTTTACCACTGCAGCGTCCAAAAAATAAGGTAATATGCTGTGCCACCATTTATTGCTTCGGCGGTTTATTTTATAGCTTGTTAGTAATTGGTAAAATTTGTTCACATTGGTCATATTGGCGTTGTAATCTGTCAGAGCTGTTGGGAAAGGTACTGCAAATGTTTCTCCATTTCTTCTTTATCTTTTAACTTCAGTGACATGATCCGGGTCACAGAACTGAAATTTTGCAGCTGCAGTATTTTGTTGCAAACAAGTCGTAAAAATTTGATAATAGATTGACACGTCTTTATCCTTCCATTTACATGCCATCTACCCTTGTATACCAATCGTGTTCGCCACGTTTCAGCTCCTTATCAGTTTTGAATTTAGACATATATTTACGGGTTGTGCCAACCGCATATATGGATTTCTTTTTCAAACCTTCCATCACTTCTACGCTATTAAAAAAGTGGTCAAAAACCAATCTTTGATTTTTTCCTTCTAGACAATCCATTAGGTTATCTACAATCTTTCAATACAACCCATAGAGTAAGTAAAATAATTTTTTATTTTACTTTCTCTATGATACAACCTGCTTTCAACACTTGCGCTTTCTTTAGTTTTTCCCGCGTAAATGTCAAACTTTTGGCAATAACCGAATTTCTCACAGAGCATCCAGAATTTGTACCCGCGCCTGATGGTAGACCTGGCTAATACTGTGTCTTAACACACTTGTGTGTTGATGCTGCTCTCTGTGTCCATGTGCTGTGACACCTGGCGTCTTACGACACGGCACTTTCAACAACACTTAACATTTAATCTCCTATTCGTGAAGGTTACGCGCACTTACCATATGGTTTCCGACCCACTCGGCAGGGATTATTTATATTACAGGGTGATTCAAAATTGATTGATCAGGATATTGAAGTGATACAGGGTCATTCTTCTGGTGGAGTCGTATGGCGGTGTTTTAGGGGTGCAGAAAAAATAGTTAGAAAAATTACTTGTTATTAAAAACTGAGAAATTTGCAAAAAGTCATATCAGAAAAACGGCAACAATGTTTTTCACGGTGATCTGGCTAATTAACATTACGTAAATACCTGTTGCTTCGTAATTATTTAAAACTCCGGGAACCATGGATAAAGACCATAGAGAAAGTGACAATACAAGACAAGATAGACAAGGATAAACGGTAAATTCAACAGGAATCGTTGAAGGACAGAACCTATTTCGAAACCCATAACTTCGAATCATTACAAACGAATTACAAAAACATTCATTTTAGTCTATAACTCCAAACAATTGCCTGTGTAATCACCTTGTTATGCACTCTTGTCGAGCAGCTTCTCGTATTCGGTTAATTAACTCCTGCTCAATTTATACCGGTGTTCAGTAATCCATTGGTTTAATGTGATCTTACACACGTGGTAGGAATGTAGCCGGTATTTATTTGGTGACTGGGAAAGTGTTAGTTGTTGTGCCATGTTCTGAGTGACCCTGGTAGGCTATGCTGCAATTATGTCCAATACTTGTTCCTCTATGTCTGAAACCCGAAAACCGATTGTTGTCCACTATCTTCCTGGAACCACTCTCTTTTCTAAATTCTCAATAGAGAAAGATTTACACCCAGCGACCGGCAAAGACACGGCAACGATAGCACAAAACATTCTTATTAGATAAGTAAATGCTGGTGTTTACTAACCATCAACGGTGCGGTAACGACACGTACAGGCAACGTCAAAGCTGACATTCTTGGCAAGAATGTCAGCAATTGACAAATTATTGTTATTAATGACAAGGGCTATCCACCTGTAACTATCTGTTAATGCCAGAAAACATCATTGCCGCTTTGACTTTATCAAATTCTATCAAAAATTTTCGTATATTGAAGCAAAAAGCTTTTCTTTTCCAATGCTTAATTATTCCAATATGCTTTCAATTAAACATGGAACACTTTCAAAATAATGCTTAATAACAAAGTTGAAATTCGATTTTCAACTGTTAATATCTTCTAGAAATAATCAAAAAAAAAATTTCAATATTTTTCTCGTACCTTCCAAGTGATTCATTCCCCTATTACTCCTTAAATGGAATGACGCCAATTTTTAATCACCCTGTATAAAGACGCACGTAAGAGTCCCATGTTTTATCTTATTTTTAAACCTTCATTTTTACATGTAAATATACAGTGTCGTCTACTTGAGTTTGGATCATATGGGAAACGTTTTATGATTAATTTTAAAGAAAAAGTTATTCTTCATTAAAAGTTCTGCTGGGATCAAAACCTTTTGATCGCAGCAGAACTGGGATTTTTTCTACTCGTGTCCGAGGTATATTAGAAGAAATTAATTTTGCCTCAAGAATAAAGCACGTTTATTTTCTGACAATATCGAAAATTGTTATTAAGAAAAGTTGATTAGAGAGTTGAAATGTCGCCTCCTACATAAACGATAATGCTATTAAGGAACTATCTTAACCAGTTAATTAACTTATCCGGTTTCTATACGTTGTGGTTAATGGCTGGCCAATTTTATTGTTTACTTCTTTTGGGTTAAACTGGTAATATGACGCTACGAATATAACAATACTATATCACGATAATCGGATTAATGGATCTGTATATTTAATAACATTGAGCAACCCTCAAATCAAAACAATTTTCGGAAATGCGTACGAAAATTTTGGTTTGCCTATAAATTTTGGAGCGATTCATTTGCGGGGAAGTGTAAAAATTTGAAATATAATTAAGCTTTTAATACTGGAGTCAGTTTTCTCAAAAAATCAGTCAAGTTTTAATAAAGAGCAGTAACCTAAATTTTTCAAAAATAAAGCTTGTATTTTGTAGTTAGTACAAACTATCTATCAACCATTAAAAACTTGATACTTACACAGGCTTGTTTCAAATTGCTTGGAAACATTTTTACGGCACCATTAATATACTTTAAACTCCTTCTAAGCGCCATATTACTATTTTCGAACACTCACTGCACGACAAAATGTTAAGTATAAGAAATCAGTAAACTTAATTACAATATCATGTCTCGTCAACGATTCATATATACACAAAGATATGGACAACAATAGCAAACTTATGTGGTAATTATTATTGTCTATACTACAGGAGAGAGTGGATAAGTTCTTTTTTTAACTTTTCGAAAATGTAGTAGTAGTTGAGTTCAAAAAAGATGTTCATTAAATGAACAATTTCAATAATAATTTACTATTGTAAATAATTGCTGACTGTAAATAATTATAATTAATTATGAAAATTATAAGTAGGGGAGACCAGGGTTAGTTGTCGTAGAGTAATTTCGTAATCGTTGTATCGCCAAAAGTACTCAGATTTTCCCAATTGATACTTTCTGAATCGATTTACCTACCGTTTAGTTAATTGGCGACACTTTTCTAGCGATACAGTTTATTATGTTTCTCAGATCTTCATAGTTGTTTTTTATTAAGGTTCTATTCCGAAACTGAGAAGTTTTTTATTAACTGAGAAACAACGTTGTTCGACAAAGTTGTCCCAAATTTTAAAACACACCCTGCAATTTATAATACAGATTGTTAAAAAATGCAAGGGCAGTTAACTTGAGGCGACATAAACGTCCACTTTCTATAAGAAAAGCTGCCGAAGCATTTAATGTTTATCGCAGAGCCCGAGAATGGCTCTGCAAAAAAAGGCCGAGGCTCGGAGCTTGCAGTCGGACAAGCCATAGGGACAAGCGCAAGTCCTCAAAAAGTCACATAAGCTCAGTAAAAAACACGAATCGTCTTCACTCATGACGAGGAAACTCGCTCGGCTTGGGAATGCTACAACCGTTGATTGAAGAGTACATAGACTCTTTCAATCAACCCTCAACACTCATCCTCACAGAAATGCTCACTGATTGAGCAGGAACATTATACATAGTGTGCCATAGACCATATATTTCTTCAGTTATAGGCTGGTCGCAATGCGGTATGAAAGTTGTACCGATAGGAACCCATTTCACGTATGTCGGAACTATGATTCAGATGATAATTATTAGTCTCATTAATATTATGTTCAAAATTCCCTTTTCATAATTTTTAAAATTATAAATAAATATGCCAGCTATTGATAAAATAATCACATTCAGTTTAGTCACGACTAATGACCCCAGGTATTAGGACAATATACCCCGCAGTGGGGCAACTTATATCATATTTCCGAGCAGAACAAAAATCGCTAAAATTCTAATTAAAAAACATGTTTTTTAGAAGTTACTAAGGGATTGCTGTTGGATAATTAATAGATAAAAGAAAAATTTATCCTGATCAGAGTGATGAAAAAAACCGACTATTATTTTCATCATCAAAATTATATTCTCTCATGTTTTCTTCTCAAATTACATTACAAAATTTACAGTTTACTGTTGTCCACCTCTTAATAGTGTATGACCCACGTATTTCAATTGCTTGGTAGCTTCTTATCGCGTTTTGGTTCATTGTAGTGAATCGTCATTATCACCGAAGATGATTACGGTGCCATCCTTTGGATGTCTCATATCATACCAAAACTATAGCAAACAGGGGCGTGCGGTCAAATTTGAAAGAAGCGAAGCAATTTATAAAACTCTCCTATTTATAATGCAATTGGATTCTTCTACCATTTTTCGCAAACTCATCTATAATGTCGTTGTAGAAATGGCGATGCTGCAAGATATTCCTAACAACAGTATTTTCAATTGTTACAAAAGGGAAACACTATAAAGACGATCTTGTTCTGTCGAGATTCGCAAGTAACTCTTTAAGTAAGGTGCTACCCAGGGAGAAGCAATGACGTATATGACGTTAATATGACGTCAGTTATTGGGCATTTTTGGTCTAGGACGTCATTGGACGAATATCTAACGACATAAAGACGTAATATTTCGGACGTCCAAAAAGCGAAACATTCGGACGTCTTTTGGACGTAATTTCTGACGAATAACTGACCTTCCATTCAGTAAAGCCGGTGCTACACGATGCTACGAACACCATCCAACGTTGGAGGCTTGACGGTTCGTCGCATCGTGAGGCCGACTTTCGAATTTAAAGCTCCAATGTCAAGCGTTCAACGTTCGCGTTGGAGCATGTTCCGGCTTTTGTGGGTATTTTTGACCGAGTCAAAGGAATCGCTGCAACGGTCGAAGAAAAACATTTTTTTAGTGGATTTAACCGCGCAGTTAAAAATTAAATTGAAAGTATTGTTAATTTCATTCTACGAAGGGGCGTATTTTTGAAGTGATAACTTTTTATGGGACGGTGAACAGATTTTTCTCGGTAACGGCGGCTCCCACTCCGACTTCTTCGCGCCTGAGGCTTGGGACGCACATATGCGCTTTGAATTCGACATTTTTCTCTTAGTGCGGGTGCATCTGTAGATCTGATAAACTTTTCAAATACAGATTGCGTTATTAAACTGACGGTGATTTTGATATATCAATTATTGAGTGTGATATTGTTGTGTTTGGTGCAGTTTATTTTAACGCTGATAACAATGGATCAACAAATTATCAAGGGAGAAGCTGCAGATACTGCAAATACTAGGTTAAGGGTGCTCATGTACTAAATGCCTGTTCGAGTTTCGCCTTTTTTTTAATTTCCAATTAAAGTACACACAATTATACACACTAAAGCAGTTTAAGTGCAAAAAAATGCGGAAATCTCCAAATTTAATTGGTTTTTTAGTCCTATTCAGATACAAGTTGCAGCAGCGAAAAGTATTAAGTAATGCTGAACGCCAAAAACGATTTCGTGCTAAAAAATGAGCATTCAGTATTAGATCAACTCAAAGTAGCTTTCATCAACTGGACGTCAAAGATTATACAAAGCAAATACGAAATTACGACTAAAAAATACAGAAACTCAAGAAGAGCAATATGTACAACCTCTCGTTGAAGAATATTAAATGTTCGAAAGAAAGAAGATGTTTTACATTCAAACGGAAATTAAATTACATGTTACCAATTCTTGATCTATTTATAAATTATTAAACCAATAATAATATTAAAATAATAAAATAAAATTATTATTGCCATCATGCGTTAAACAAGTTCGATATTTCATGGTTTCTATAAATATATGAAGTTATCACTTTTGTCGAGTGTCCCGTGACGCACACCATTTTTTTAAATTATAATTATTGGTGATACATCCCGTTTAACATTTTATAAAATTAGTTTGAAAAACATTATTAGTGATGAACGAGACTGGCATCGGTCTTGCAAACCAAGACCAAGACCAAAACTATGTATGCAAGAACAAGACCAAAACCAAGACCATGTCTTGCAATACCAACATGTTTGCAAGAGTTGTGCGACAGTCTCGCAAGACCATACGGCTCATACGAATGTTTGGTTTGAAGTAGAATTGAGCAACAAATCACTACCTGTGAACCATTCTTCAAAATATTTCTTTAAATATATTCATTTTTATAACATTAGTGTAATGTTTAGGTAACTGAAGAGATTAGCTTATCTCAAACACCACCACCTACATACGTTATTGTATAACCGATTGCCTACTACACATGGTGTAAGGTCGCTCCGTAGACGGAAGAAAAGAAGCTTTTGAGAAAAACTGCTTGTTTTGAAGTAAAGATGACATTGATCGTTGGTTAGGTTAGAATTCCCTTGTATTCAAATGTTGTAAACAAACTTACTAGGCCAAATTGCTATATTTAAAAAAAGTTCTTATATATATACAAAATAAAAAATATTAATGGTGAGTGATAATTAAGTTAGTGCAAGATATTCTTCACTGCATCACTCAATTTTCGATGAAATGGATGTTGAAATATTTAATGAAGTGGAAGACAGTGCAGAAGACGGTGGTTTGGAGCTTTCCAGTCAATCTGCACCTATTCCTTTTGATGATGACGATGGAAGCACTTGTCCGGTCTGTTTAGAATCATGGACAAATTGTGGTGATCATAGGATATGTTGTCTCAAATGTGGTCATTTATTTGGGTAAGACACTAGCAATATACAAGGAGTTTAATTGAATAAGATCAAGCCAGGAAACCCACAAAGACTTGGGGTAGTTTTGTATTAAAATATGTTAAAGCAGATGCAATGTGAGAAGGAGAAAATGCGTCTTTATAGTTGTAGTGGACGGAAGGACTCCTAGACAAAGCGAGTAATGTTTCGTTTTACATGCTATCCAAAATTGATGAAAATGCAAACCATAATAAGCTTTCTTTCTCAGTGTTTCCTTACGAAATAATTTTTTAACTTACGGAACCATTCGTTATGCCCATCTTCATTAAAAGCTAATATCTACATATATTTTGTTTAAATCGAACTTGATGTATGTTGTCGGGTTTCCCGTTTCTTTCGTTGTTTTTTATTGCAGAATGAATACACAATATTTGTTCTCTAAAGTTGATGCATCGTGTTATGTCTCCCTTTTGCTCTACCTTTTTTGCTGGCTCATTCTTGAACAAACCTCAATATGCCGTATTTCCTATATGGTTGAAGCTTAGTAAATGTTCATCACAGTACGTCTTGCAAGATGTGATTTTTTGAAGCAAGTGATTTTTAAGTAAATTATAATCGGATGGAGCGAAGCCTGGGGAATACGGAAGATGAGGTAGAAAATCTCAATCACACTAATAATTGCAGGCAGTTGCTATATTTGCAAAATTGGTCGTTTCACCTTTATGAAAGAACAGGTAACACATTAGATACTTTTTTAGTCTCACCAAATGATGCACAAGGGAACTTTATTCGATAGAAATTCTGGCTGTGCAACAGTTGAAGGCTAATTTCCTCTAGACCAAATGCGTTTTCCATGCATATTTTGATACGAAATCCTGGCTTTCGTTGAGACCGTTTTCTAAGAACGGATTTCTTTCGTGTTGCTGAAGAAGCAAATCGTAATTGAGACTTTGTATCAATTTGTTAGGCCTATGTCTATAAACTAACTAGCAAGAGTAATAGACAAATCCAGTATGACCGTTGATAAGGAGAAACTTATGGGGCAAATAATTTTATTATTTATTACATTATTATTTTTAATAAGGTTTATCATTGAAACTTTAATCGAAATAATACGTCGTCACGTAGGTACTTCATTTTCCTCGATTTGGTTTATTTATTGGTGTGGTTGACCACTGAAACAGCAGTAATTTTAATTTGTTTTACATGTTTGAATCTTTTAAATAATTTAATTTCATCCCTATAAAAATGTTTAGTGTTGATTTACAGAAGTCTGAATTTTAACTTTACAACATAATGTTTTGTTGACGACCTGCTCTTAGGGTTGTTCTGGTGATGACGTGAATGTCGAAAACACCTGGCCTTACTTTACTTTCCAAAGTAATTTTCGACCCCCTGAATTGTATTCATTTAATATCAGGGAGTTTGATTGAATTGTCTTCAGTGTGTATACACTCACTTCTTCACTTATTCTATTTTTTTTATATGTATAGAATTTATTTGGCATGTTTTGTACTTTACGTTCACACCGTATTTGAATTGCACTGATGCATTTTTATCATTTTTAATTGGCAAAAAATGGATTTAAAATTTTTGTCATAGAAAACCACAGTTTGTAGCAAATCTTTACATTATAATTGTCATTAGTAGAAGAAAATGCTGACCTTTCCATAAATAATATTTATAACACATATATTTTTAATATTATGAAAATATTTTTTTTATTTTGGCTTGATTTTATATTAATATACAGGATAAGGTGTTCCATTAAAAGCACAAGGTTGCCGTCAAAACGTTTTATTGGTACTTAAATATCTGCAGATATAAATATATACAGGGTGATTCAAAATTGGCGTCATTCCTGTGGAGGTGTTGTCTGGCGCTGTTATAGAAGTAGAAGAAGAAAAAATAGTAAAAAAAATTTATTGTTATTAACAACAGAGAAATTTACAAAAAACTACAGGGTGATTCAAAATTGGCGTCATTCCTTTTAAGGGGTGATAGAGGCTCACTTGGGGAGTAGGAGAAAAATATAGAAAATTTTTTTTTCGAAAATTTCTTTAAGATAGTGTACCGTGGATGGTCGGGTATCAAACTCTTTCTTCAGCTTCCAACTTTTATTCAACTCGGTATCACTTTAAATGCGGATTGATGGATGCGGAGAGAACTTTTTTGGTATCAAAAATTTTCGTAATTTGAAGAAAAGATCGTAATTTTTCTTTTTGAATGCTTAAGTATTTCAATATGCTGCCAATTAAACATGGAACAATTGCTAAATAATGATTAATAACACAGTTGAAATTCGATCTTCAACTGTAAATATCTTCTAGAAATTTTCGAAAACAATTTTTTCAATATTTTTCTCGTACTCCCCAAGTGAACCTCTATCATCCCTTAAAAGGAATGACGTAAATTTTGAATCATTCTGTATGTATATCAAAAAGTGAACTTTTTTTAAATTGTAAGCAATACTTATAAAATGACACAATTCGTTTACTATATCGGTTGACTTTGTCTAGATACAAATGTATAGTGCGATGGCTAGACTCCCAAACCAAAAAAAGCTGCCCCACGTGTAAACTGCCCGTAAGGAAGTCAGACTTACGATTCATATATGCCAAAAAACTTATAGCTATCGATAGTATAGAACTGGAAAGTATGAGAGAACAACTGGAGAATGCTTTGATGCAAAAAAATATTGCCCTGCAAAGTGTATCAAAATATATTAGTCGAGAACAGGTGCTTCAGTCTGAAATTGAACAATTAAGGAAAAAAGTTCAAGAATTAACTTTAGGTGAGACTTAAGAGTTGCAATGTAACGTTATGTTAGTTGAATTTCAACATATTTAACATATTTTAGGTGCGAATCGAAGTGACTTCCGTATTTCTGTCCAATGTCCTATCAACAGGGTGAGATTGTACATGGAGAAAACCATTGAAGTTTGCAATAAAAATAGCTGCAGAGATTGCAGAGTGTTTGACATTTCAGGTACGTTATTTTGCTATAGTCTTAATCTGTTAATAACCGAACATTTTTTTAGAGTCTAAAAATATAATACTGATAGCGTCTAGATCGTCGACAGATCTTTTTGGAGGGTTTGGTTTGAAAAAGCTGTCTCTCTCAAATTACAAACAAGTTAAATTTATTCCTTTGCACAAAGGTCCAATTCGAGATATGTGCTTGCACCCAATAGACAATAAAGTTTTAACAGTCTCAGCGGATCGAAAATTCAAAGTAAGTTTGAACAAAATCAATCAATGAAAATAGTTTATTTAAATGTTAAAAGAGACGTTAAAGAGAGCTAAACCACCATCCATGCCTGGACAAGATAATAAGACACAGATAAACTTATAAACATAACATCTTATAACATAGAGACGACAATATCCAATGCCAAACTTGTCCTTAATTTTTGATACTCATACTTAAATCAGTTCACAACTTTARCTCGAATTGTCAAGGCCAACCTTTTATCCTCTTGCAATCGATTTTATTGAATTTTAAAGCCTTGTTATCCCTCTACCGCCCTATATCATCGCCAGCCCAATCGAATATCGAAAAATCGAAAACTTATAGTTTCTCATTATGGCATTCACTCATGCATTATGGCTGCACGAGGTACGACACCTACCCATGTCAGGGACAGGAAAGAATAGGGGCCGCCCTGCGTCGGGATATTCCAATCCTAGGTGCAAAGGTGGCCCCACCTGAGTGACTTAGGTTAGAAAGGAAGTTTAAGGTGGAAATCCCAGCAAAAGAAAGCCGGACTTCTAGGAAGGTGACGGCCCGAAAGGGGGAGCAATGTTGTACACCGACAGCTCAAGGGCGCCCAGTACAGGATTGTCCGGGGCGGGAGTGTACCGACAAGACACCAATCGGGGAGCATCCATTTCGTTGGGAGGCTGGACGACAGCCTCAGCGGAATTATATGCAATGCTAGAGGTTGCACAGATAAGGAGGTCATAGAAGAAATAGAAGGAGAGATTGAGATCTACTCTGACAGCCAGGCGGCCCTAAATGCAGTTCTCAGTGTTAGAATGGGCCGTAAACTGATCCAGGAGCGCTGGGATGCCCTGAATAAAGTGTTAGAACAGAAACAGGTAAACCTGGTGTAGATTCCGGCGCACATGGGGATCGCGGTGAACGAGCAGGCCGACGCATTGGCCAGGCGCGGATCTTCTGAGAGCCCAAAAACTGCCGAACCTCACATAGGGCTAAGTAACAGACAGGTAGCAAGCGCACTCAACAGCTGGGCCCTTAAAGGTACCACAGAGTCGTGGAGAAAGGCGGAAGGGTGTAGACAAGCCAAAGAATTGATTGGAATGTCAGGCGAGGCCAAGGCAACGTCCAAATGGCTGATGGCAAGTAGTCGCTGGGCCCTAAGAACTCTGGTTGGGGTCATGACAGGCCATTTCGGTCTGAATAAACACCTACACCCACTTGGAATCGGTGATAGCCCCGTATGTCCACAATGTGGAACGGCAGAGGAAACATCGTATCACCTTCTAGGAGTATGCCACCACTGATCGTCCATGAGGCGGAACCTGCTTGGGGCTTCCCCACTCTCCTACACGGAACTGTCTTCACTAGAGTGGAGACGGATACTCGCTTTCGTCAGGGAGACGGGACGCCTGGGTGATGAAGATGAGGGACAGTAAGGCGGGGGTGGAAAGACGGAAAATGGTGAAAAGGGCCTTTAAGGTCTACTCGCCGGACCGATTCGGGTACCCCTACAGAACTACTACATGGTATTCACAAATCATTAACCAAATCTATTAGCTATGTTTCGGGCTAACTAAAATACATTCATCATCATTTTTTTCCCTTTCATTTTACCGAATCGATTTAACATGTAGTTGATTCGTATTTGTCACAATACCAATTCTAATGTCATTTGACTCTTTTATTCAATTTTGAAATTTTGACGGAGGCGTAAGGGCATGTACAAACTTTTTCGTCTTCCCCCTGTAGCTCACATAGGAATTTTTTCTCGCCAAAAATTTTGGAGGGGAAACCCTTGCGATTTCTTCGAAATTTTACATTTTATTATTTTCCTCGAAAACGAAGCTTCCTATCGTTATTCTTTATAAAATCTCGGGATCATCGAGCACTATCCAACGGTATTTTGGGCAACGTTCCAGCTTTTATAGTTGTCGAGCAAATAGCAAAAATATGGCTTTCAAAAAGCTGCTATATATCTCGATAACCAAATGAGCTCAACTGAATCTAATCAGTCCATTTTGTCTCTTTTGAACGAAACGTACGTATAGATGTTTTCGGTTCCGTAGAGGTTTTCCGGTTCTTCCTCAATTTGACCTTGAAATCACCTTGATCCCGACATTGTAGAGTCAAACTTACCGCGGATTTGGATTTAGTAGGTCAAAATACTACAGGATATGTCTCAACCCAAAGTAAAAAAAATCGGTTATGTGGCTGTGTAATTCAAGAATAAATGCGTGGTTCAAGTATAGTTTTTTGGCCGTCTGATAGCCCAGCTGATGAGAACTAATAAGTTCGGAACCGGTTGTTTCTTCTGAAATAACCAAAAACCTTTACTAGTACCACAAGAGAATTACTATTTGGATTTGAATTTCTGACGGAATTACTGAATTAGCATTATTGCTTGTATGAACAAGTAATGTTATTCCAAAATTGACGCACTAATTTATCTGTATATAATACTACTGACCTGACCTTTCTCTGTTTATTTCCAAAAATTGAAGTTTTTACCAGTGAGCTTTTTACCTCTGATTTGAATTTCTCTGCTCCGAAAATATTTTGGCCCAGGCTTCATTACCATTTAAAAAACTGACGAAATTGCACTTAGTGCTTTTTATACTCCCACTTCAGTTGATCAGCTGCTATTCAAACCCAGACCGTTGCATTATTCTTCTAACTGATACCTGTTGTGTATACTGACGTGTTATCACTATATGTTTCAAAGTGATAGTGAGCATTAGGTCTGGGTAACTGTGTTGTGCGGCACTTTTCTGTTGATGCCTCTCTGTGCGTCGATGCGTTTAAACACCTCGCCTCTTATGGTGTAACACCTTGAACCTTGAATAACTCTTAACATTTAATAGTATTGAAGATGGCAGACTTTGGATTGCAAATTCGTGAAGGCCGCGCACTCATCATATGATTCGCGACAATGTCGGATTATATTACGTTTTATGTAATTATCGCCCTTTTATGTTTTATAACACCGCGCAAGCCATAACCAAAACTAGTTCGTGCTCAAAATACTTATCTACTGGTGAAATCCTATTTATCTCTGCTCAGTATTGGTTCTATTAAGTCCCGGAATTTCGAATCGCGAATTCTGGCCAAATAAAAGAATACACTAAAACAAGCTTTAGAAAAGCTACCTTAGGCCGATTCTATATCTCTTGTACACCTCAGATCTGCCAACAATAGAGCAAAATATCACAGCCACATTTGCGTATGACACTGGTATCATGACATCACATACAAATCCTATAATAGCTTCAGAACTACTGCAAATAAGCATGACAAAAATTGGCTAAAGACATGGATAATAAAGGCAAACGTGTCTGCGCATGTAACATTCACACTGCGAAATGGAACATGTCCTCCAGTAACATTGAATAGCAAAAAGGATCCACAAACCCAGACCAGAGAGACCGTGATGTATCTTAGTATGCACCCGGAACGCAGACTGACATGTAAAACTCACATATGGACTAAAAGAAAGCAATTCAACCTACAATATCAGAAAATGTACTGGCTGATAGGTAAAGGATCGAAACTCTTACTAGAAAATAAACTACTTAAATATAAAACAATAATTAAACCCGTCTGGACATACGGAATTCAAGTGTGGGGTTCAGCATCCAACTCAAATATTACAATTTTGGAGAGATCACAAGCAAATATGTTAAGAAATATGGTGAATGCACCATTTTTTTTATATCAGCCGTTTTCTACCCTACGGATATAAGCCTCCCTCTTAATTTGCAAGTTGTCACGATTTTGTGCCACCTGGTACCAGTTTAGTCCTGCCGCTCGTTACAGATCGTCGCTCCATCTCATCTGTGGTCTTCCTGTGCTCCTTCTATTGCTCCATGGTCTCCATCGAATTAGTTTACCACTCCACTTATTCTGGTTTCCCAATTGGCCCGCCCAATTCCACTTCTGAGCGGGGGCGCGTTGCTCGACATCATGCACCTTTGTTTTTCCTCTGATCCATTTATTTGTTTTCCTATCCCTTAATGATATCCCAAGTATTCTCCTCTCAATAGCTCTCTGATTTACTTTAAGTTTGTCTAGTATAGCTTTCGTGAAGGTCCAAGTTTCTGACCCGTAAGTAGTTACTGGTAGGATACACTGGTTGTATAATTCGGTTTTGAGATTTAAGGGTATGTCCATATTTAAGATGTCTTTTATTTTGGCATATGCCGCCCAGGTTTGCCGTATTCTCTCACTTATTTCCAGTTTTTGATTAGCCTTGCCTATAGTTAGTGTTTGTCCTAGGTATTTGTATGCAGTTACTTCCTCTATTCTGTTGTCTCCTACAGTAATTTCTCGTTCGTCATCTACTTTTGATGTCATGTACTTCGTTTTATCAAAGTTGATTCCTAGGCCTATGCGTGGCTCTGTAGATGTTTCGATAAGTGTGTCAAGTTCTTCTCTGCTTTCGGCGACCACTACTATGTCGTCTGCAAACATTAAGTGGTTAAGTTTCTCGCCATTGATATTGATGCTTCTGTCTTGGAGGTCGATTGTTTTTAGTGCGTCTTCTAAAACTAGTGTGAAGAGCTTGGGTGACATAGAATCTCCTTAATGCACTCCTCTATTAATTGCAACTTTGTCGGATTGTTTATGTAGCGGGATTTGTAGAGTAGCGTTTCGGTAAATGTTGTTAATTAGGTTTGCGTATCTGTGGTCTATTCTGGCGTGTTTCAAGGCTTGCTGTAGTGCCCATATTTCCACCGTGTCGAAAGCCTTTCTAAAATCAATTAATGCTAGCCATAAAAGTATATTGTATTCCACAGCCTTTTAGATTAGTGTTCTCATTAGTTGCAGGTATTCTGTAGCCCTTCCTAAACCCAGCCTGCTCCTTTGGCTGATAATGGTCTAGCTTTGGTGTGAGGCGGGTAGTTATAATTTTCGAAAATAATTTATATATTCGGGATAGCAGGCTGATAAGTCTGTAATTTTCTAGGTTCTCGGTGTCTCCCTTTTTGGGGATGATTATCACGAGGGCGTTTGTCCAGTCCTGTGGTATGTCCTCATTTTCCAGGCATTTATTGAACAATATTTCTAGTTGTTCTACTAGTATATCGCCACCTTTTTTAACATCTCCGTTAGTATCCCGTCTTCGCCCGCTGCTTTCCCATTCTTCATGTGATGTAATGCTGATCTGATTTCGTCTTCTGTAATCTCAGGTATGTCTTCCGAGTTGACGTTCGTGACTTTCACTTCCTGGTCTTGCTCGGATATGTCGCTCCTTACTCGCTGCTTGGTTTAGGGTTCTAGTGATCGTTTTGTTTGCTTCGTTTATGTCATAATTACTCAATATTTGCTCTTTAAATCTCTTTCCTAGGAATGTTTGGAATTTATTTGGGTTATGTTGAAGTTTCGCTCTGTCAACCTGTTTGTATATGGACTTTTTTATTTTTTTACATCGTTCTAGTTTTTGGTTTATGCTTATCCTTGCCCTCCCCAGACAATGGTCACTGCCAAAATCAAATCTGTTCAATACCTCGACGTTTTGTACTATTTCGATGTTCTTCGTGAGAATGTAGTCGATTTGGTTGAAAGTTCTCCCGTCCGGGCTTGGCCAGGTCCATTTGCGGTTGGTTTTTTTTTGGAAGAAGGTGTTAGCGTTATAGAGATGTTCTTCCAGAAAATCTACCATCATTGAGCCTCTGGGATTTCTTTTGCCCAGCCCGTGTTTGCCTACGTATTTTTCCTCTGGGTCTGCTTGGCCTCCAATCTTGCAGTTGAAGTCGCCGATCACTAAAACTTGTGATGTTTTATTGTTGCGCATTCCTTCCGAGATATCCTCGTAGAATTTGCTGACCTCCTCGTCTTCAGCGGTGCTTGTGGGAGCATATGCCTGAATTATCTTTAGTATTTCCAGTTTATTAATTTGGATGGTTACGTATATTACTCTTTCGGATATAGCTTTGAGCATTCTTACGTTGTTTGTTAGTCTCTTGTGTATCAGTATGCCTACGCCTCCCAGACTGGAGTTCTCGCCTGCTTTGTAATAGAGCTTATGACCTGATTTGAGCTTAGTGTATCCTTCGCCTCTTTTCCTTGTCTCACTTATGCCAATCACATTCCATTTGATTTTTCCTAGTTCCGCAACCAATTCTTCAGTTCGGTCTTCTATCGCCATTAATCTAATATTGTACGTAGCAATGTTCATCTTTGTGTGGCAGCCTGATTTCTTCCAGATATTCTTCTCTTCGCACCTTTCGCCGTTCCATTCTGGCTACAGCTGCCTTTGTAGGGAACTTTCCGGCTGCTGGGGAGGGCCTTTGGTTTTTGTTGCTATTCATTTATTTAAGGGTTTTTTTGGCATTTGGTGAGTTTGTGCTTCAGCCGCCCCTCTGGGGAATAGACGCTGTTAATAGCCGGCCATTCTGGGTCAGACGCTATTGTGCTAGTTTTGGTCCGCCCCGGATATTTAATTTCCCCGGTTCCACCTATATCTAGAAGGTTTTCCCCTATTCGCCACCTGGGGAGGCGCCCGGTGGGGGACTAGCAACCTCACACGGGTGAATGCACCATGGTTTGTCCCAAATGAGATCATCCGCAAAGATCTTAATATCCCTACAGTCAAAGAGGAAATCAGTACATTTAGTGCCAAATACAAAGACAGGATTAGTGCACATCCAAACCAATTGACAACTAACTTGATAACCAGCCAACCTGAAATGAAAATAAATCATGTTATTTATTGATATAATATCAGCGGAAGTGTCCTCCTTGAAGAAAACCTAATGAAGACGGTTTCGTCAGAATCCATCGTCATTTGACTGATTCAAGTAATTTTCTTACATCGACTGCCGAAGTGCCGTATTGCTAGAACTTGAACAATATCGCATTTACTGGCGCACAAAGAACGTCAATCTAATCCTTTTGATGCTAGTCAAATGAAAGTGTTAAAAAACATGCATATCAGAGATTCGAATTCTTGGGCAGTTGAAAACCGTTTTGAAACCACGGAAAGGCACCCTAAATATGCTGTTCTCTGTTGTGAAGTATTGACATAGGATTTACTTATTGTTTAGTAGACAGATTGTAAATGTACTAGGTAAATTAAAAAAAAAGAAAAGCTACCCGCAATGTAAGATAAACATAAGTGGAGAGAAGTGATGAGGAAAGCTGCAACGCTACATTAGAAACGTTTAAGTGGTCATTACTCTTCTATCCGAAGGGAAATGAGAATAAGAGAAAATTATTATATATTATGAGTTTACTGAATTACAAAAAGTGTTGACGCGATAAACCGTATCGGTATAGCTGTGTAAACACCTGATCATCCTGTGTTGTCAAGGCCTTGTGAGCATAGAAAAAGACAGGCTCAAAAGAAATTTTGTATTTTATGTTCATATTTTAAAGCACAAACAAGCTGTATTACAGTAGTGCAACAACTAGGGAACAGCAAAATAGAAACTTTAAATTTCGGAAACTCCTCATTACCAATGCGTTTAACACGTGTCTTGCATAATGCTTAAACACATTGCGCTCACACTGCGCAACACCACGACATCTCTAAACATTACGTATCGCAGAGTCCTCTGTAATCTCTTTATACATTTATCGTATTATGAGTTTATTGCATCATAAATTGCGCTGACGCGTTGTAATGACGCGACAGGTCATATCAGCAACACTGCGCCAACACCTGAAAATTCACTGTTTCACAGGCCTACTCCCCATCCACGAAATTCTGTTCTATTAACAAAATACAAACAGTGGGAATAGTTATAATACTATTCCAAATAAACAACAAATTAGTTTAAGCGTTCACACCCAGTAAGCCAAATGCAGTGGGTCAAATTGGAAAGTTATATTATAAAACTCGTTTTGCTCAAAAAAACATAAATTATCCGCCTTCCTTTTTGTAACACCCAGTATATCTGTTAGTTTAGCTGAGCAAGAGTATTTAATATTTTCCAAATTGCTTTGAAATCTCGATATTTTGCTTGGCTTTGTTAGACTTTTATCACTTTACCGTTACGAACTCTGTACATTTTGATTAATAACCCACTAACGTGTATAGGCGTCTAGATTCTATAGGTTATAAAAATGGCAATTGTTTTCAGATTATAGATACGGACAACACGCAGACGATCTTTACCGTAAATATGGAATCTGCCCCGTGGTCGTGCTCATGGAACCCGAAAAAATCTGACGAGTTGCTTGTAGGAACCCAAAATGGCACAGTCAACATATTTGATATTAGGAACCTAAATGGACCAGTTCACTCGTTAAACATTCCTGGTTCGTCTTACCGTTGCCGTACGTTAAATCACTCTCGTATAAAAGCCCATTTCTTAGGTGACTTTAATCCAGTCGTCTCAGTGGCAACAGTCAACGAACCATTGTGCCCTGATGTTGTTTTGGTTGCTAAATTGACTACAGCCTGGGCATTTGAATGTAATTCAGGTAAGTGTTCAGTAATACCGCATTATTACAAAGCAGCCTCAATGTGCCTTAACAAGTTTAAATCAACAGTGTGCTACAAAATACACTCAATCTGTGCTACAAAACACTCACAGAACGTAGGAATAAAACCCATTCAAAGGACAAATCACTTCCAATCGTTGACGTACAAAGACAAAATAATCAGTGCAAAAACAACAAAAATATACAGAATATGTAGAACCTGCTAGACTGAAGTCACAAAATTAATACACGTATAACAAAAAAAATAAATAAGACATTCAAACAACAGAACAGATTACCTCTTCACCAGTGTTGTACCAGTTGTACTAAGATCAAAAATTCTTACATACATACATATTGTACCGTGAATGGCCGGGTATCCAACTCTTTCTTCAGCTTCCAACTTTTATTCCACTCGGTATAACTTTAAATACGGAACAGGAACAAACTAACTTCAAAATTACCGTCAACTTCACAAAGAATAACAATAACCGACGGAAAACTCGCTCTTCCGACTCGCGGGGTTCAACCTCTTCTGCACCCGGTCGCTCCTGTCACTTCACTGACTCCTCATGGTTCTCGTCGCCGCTTATATAGTTTTCTCCAGGTAACCCAGACGGTTCTCGAAATCTCCAGCCCAGGTGCGAAATTTCCCGCTTGTCAGTGTCATATTTGACAGTAAATGGGGCGCCAATGGGGCTCCCATTTACTGAAATACCATGAATTTCGATCCGCACCTTCCAAACGTGAGTACCCCAGGCCATTTCCGTTACAATACATACAAGGTCGCTCTACAGCCCAGGGTAGGTCTTGGGTCACTGCACTATGCTCCTCCAGGCCTGCCAGTCCTCCAAAAGATTTGCGTTCTTTTAGACTCAGAAGATCAATAAGAAATTTCCAAAATCAATTACACAGTTGTTTAAACTAATTACTCTACGAACGAACAAAAATAACTGGAATAACCGAAATACTACTTCGATTACAAACAAAATGGTACAATAATCCCCACAACTGGACCATAGGGAATTCGCTTTGTCTTGCACGACAAACCAGACAATCCCGTTTTCTTTTCCCAAAAACAAAGTTGCTTGAACACTTACACACAACACAACCAACGCGCCAGGCGATAAAGACTTAAAATACAATTTAGTATAACTCTGACGTGAAATTTTTTTTTGTTTATATAATTAGCACAATATATAGATAAACAACAACAACCTTTCGGTTAATCTGAAGTAAATGTAATGTTAATGTCAAAAGAAATGTGGCAAATTAACATTATCTTATAAAGCCGAGTTCAGCCATTTCTGCTTGTTCATGTTGAATATATTATAATTGTGAATAAACTAACACTTTCTACCGGGAATGCTTCTTACCATTTACCTAAGGTAATATTCAGACATTAACCAAAGGAACATGTTATTCTCGAGATTAACATAATTTCGAACGTTAACCGTAACATAAATATACAAGGGCAGACAAACCGATGGGTCGATAGCCTTTTTCACCATATGAATTTATATTAAAATCACATGCTTTTATATTAAAATTTAAGAAAATCTGCTAAAGTGCTCTTGCAGACGCATATTTAATCGGCTGTTTTTTTAGATGGAACGTTCAACCGATATCTTTTGCCACTAGAAGGACCATTCCTATCAATGACATATGAGGAAAAGTCCAAGCAAATGTTGGTGTCTTCACGACCGAATAGTCAAATTAATTTTGCTCGACATACTGTTGCTTATTTGGAAAGGGTTTGTTTGTGCTATTCTAGAAGATGTTTTGCCTTGAATAAGAATGCGCTTATTTCAGACAAGTGAGCCTGATACAATTAGTTGCAATATCGTGCATGCGTTTAAGGGTGGATGCACTGCGAAACTGCTGGCAAAAACTTCATGTTTCCTGCCCAACAATATCGTTGCCGGCCACCATGAGACCAGAAAAAGCATTTTGTTGTACAGCATCAACACTGGTGAAGAGGTAAGGAATTTGCGTCAAAATCGAAATAGTTAGGAAAATAAATACGATTTTCTATCAGGTCGGTTCCTGTCCCACCCACGACAATCTAGTTTTGGACATGAAAGGACTGGATACTGCTAGCGGCAAATTTTTAGTCTATTTAAATGAAAAAAAGATAGAGTTCTTCAAATTTAATGTCTCCTAGGAAATGTGAAATTATATCAAATTATTGGCTAAGGCTACTAAGAATCGATACTAAAAGGACTTGAAAGCCACTACTTTTTCATTATTTAATGTTGCATGTGAAAGTATACCAGTGTTGATTATATTTATTGTTACAGGATAAGCATAGACTCTTATCAACCAATTTAGGGACAAATCCGTACGTACCATTTTCGTAAAAAATTCTATATGAACACTAACTTTTTAATAATTTATGAGTTAGACCAATTTAAAAACCCATTTTTTACTAGTTACGACAAAATGGCATTGAATAGTTTATCCATTCTATTTTTTAAATAAAATTCATATAAAGTTTGAAATGTTATTCACTTCGTTGCTTGCTTGTACATTTCATACAGGTCTAGTAAATTGTTTTGAATTACGGTTTCAACGCGGAATATTTTTTGTTGGTTATAAAACTTGTAATTGAGCTAAAACATTGTAACACGAACCCCAACGCAGAAACGGTATTTTAGTTCATATGGAATTTTCTAAAAGCTGTCTCAAATGTGTCATAAATGGTTGATAAGTTTATTTTAGATTAAGTTATTGTACATTTAAAGGCATGCATGTAAAAATATAATTTCTTCATATCATTGTCTATTTTAATGCTCAAGAACAAACAAGCGGTATCAAAATAAAAACATGTATTAACTGAAACATATATTTACAATATTATATAAATTAAATTCAGTCCATAACGTGGCTTTGTACACGATATACCCTTGGTATGCACTAAGTATCAGTTTTTACTTAGGCGTAGAGAATCCAACGTCCTTTAAACTTAAACGACTAACGGGGTCACACAGTATTTCTTTCGGATTATTTAATTTGGTAGTATGCAGGTATTGATAGTAAAAGCATAAAAGTGTAAAACATATTTTTCATATAGACTTAATCTAGTCAAAAAACGACAAAAAAGTCCTAATTGGAAACAAACATTTTCAATAATAATTCTTTACAATTTCCTGTGGTACAACGGATCACACAAAACATTTTTTTTTATCTTGCCGCCTTTAAACTAGCAATGCACTTTCAACACTTAGCGCCAAATATAAATTAAGTTCGATTTTGCACTCACTTGTATTAATTGAAATGGAACCTGAACTGAAACGGGCTTCCATGGAAGCTTTGGAAGTTATGGAAATTGGCGTGCATGTTCTGTTTACCCGATTCTGGGTCGAGTGGATCTTCACCGTTATCAAACTGTCGCCGCTTTTCCTCGTCGGTAAGAACTTCTTTGGCAGCTGCTATATCTATGAATTTCTTTTCTGCAATTTTTTTCATTTTTTCATCCATTTGATAGTTATCAGGATGCCACTTTTGAGCTGCTTTCCTGTAGGCTTTCACAATTTCTTTCTTAGTTGCCGTTCTTTTAACACCTGAAATAAATAATGACTTAGATTGTTGAGAGAAAACTATGTCTTAAAAAACATACCCAATATTTTGTAGTAATCCCGCTTCTCCGATTGTTTTTGCCTATTTTCTGCCTTATTCAAACCTTCCTTAGCCCTTTCAAAATGTTTATCAACTTCTAACGCTGCTCTGAAGTCTCTTATAGCATCATCATATAATTCAGATTGCAAATAAGCTTCAGCTCTATCACAGTAAATACCCGCTTCTTCATAGATGTTGAGCGCCTCACTGCAAGCTTTCACAGCCTCTTCAGATCGATCTTCATTCATATAACAGGTACAGAGGATGCGCTTAGCCTGGAATATAATTTGTCTTACGTCTTCTTCATTTTTTATTACTTTTAAGGCAGCCTCGATACCTGTAAATTAAAATATCAAACAATTAGTTCCAGCATCAGACACTTGAGAAAATTATAAATTAGCAAGACGGCGCTGTTTGAAAACATACAAACATACTTGTTCGAAGTTACGAGAGGCTCACACTGTAAAAATGCACTACGCAAAGATGGGTAGGGATGAGCAAAGCAAGATCAATACTTGCATGGTCTTGGGGTCTTGGTTTTGTTCTTGCATTTGGAGTATTGGTCTTGCAAGTCTTGCTTTCAAATAAGGCGTTAAATTAAATTAAATTAATTTTATAATAAAACAATAATTGCTATTTGATTTGCGTATGTTCTTCTCATCGATGGTTAATTAAAAATCTGAAGCTTCCCAAATTAGATTTTTTATTATTATTTTGTAATTCAAAATTATTGGCGCTAACATTTTCGTTGCTAAATAAACTTCAGAAGACAATCCCTACCCAATTTGGATTTTTTCATGTAATATCCTTAATTTACATATCCTAACAAAAGTACAACAAACAAGATTTAAAGTGTAAAAATATAATGTCAAACTCAATTTTTAATAATAAATATGATTCTTCAGTACTTTCACAAGGGGTATTGAAAAAATAATTATTAAAATGTATACTATGCAAGCAGAACTTTTATGAGGAATAACTTTTTTCGTAAAATTAATAATAAAAAAGTTTTCCATATGGTGCTAACTTAAGTGGACACAATGTAAGTATATGGAGTTGAAGAAGTCCCTTCATTTAAAAAGTAATAAACGTTAAGTAAAATATCAACCCAAATTAACTCGCATAACTAATTGCAGCTACAGGCACGCATTGTATATTTATTCAACTTCAGAAGTTGGTTTAAATTGCTTTACGAAAACGGCATTTTGAAATTTTTAGATGTGTTAACATTTTTTACAAACTCTTGAACTTACCCTCAGCATAATTGTTATTTTCAACAGCCGTTTCAGCCTCAACTAGGACCTTTTCAACTTTTTTAATCTTTTTGTAAAAAGTGAAACATTTTTTATGCTCCGGATCCAGCTTCAGGCACTCCCTTATAGCTTTTAAGGACTCTGTTGCACTGCCAGTTTTGTAGAGGATCTGGGCAAGTTTAAGAAAACCATCAGTGTTATCACTCTGCAGTTTGGTGGCTGCTTTAATGTCGGATATCGCTGCAATTTCATTTCCCGTTTCCAAATGCATTTCCGCTCTGAATTCATATAAACTTGCGGCCCACGGGCTCACTTCTATTGCCTCGCTAAGGTATTGTATTGCACTGGCATAATCGTTATATCCATAATAATATTCAGCGTTTCCCTTGCGCTCTTTTGCTGGTTCAATCCGCTTCAGTAATTCGTTTGCTTCCACATTATCTGGATCCGCTTTCAACACATTGTACAAGTCGAGCTGAGCAAGATCATAACTTCCTTGTTTTAAATGGATATTGCCTCGCCCGATTCGAGCAGCTGTGAAGTCCGGCTTCAGCTCTAGGACTTTGTCAAAGTCCCCTAAAGCATTTTTCGCTTTTCCCAACGCTAAGTAAACAGTACCTCTTTTGAAGTAGGTGAGATAGTTGGTTGGGTCTCCATCTACTGCCGCGTGGTAGTGCGTTAAAGCATCCCCCCACTGGCCTTTGGAGAGATATTCTTTGCCTTGTTCCAAATGTTTGTTAATTTCTCCTTGCGATAAGCATTCCGACACGTTAACCAAGTTTTCCAAAGCCAGTAGAACCAAATAAGGAGTTATTCGGAACCACACGCTATTTCCCGTAAAATCACTAAATATTGGACTGGTCATTGCTACAAACTGATCATCTACTAAGCCTGGAAATATCTAAGTCCTGAGAAGGTTAACATTAATCAACATTTTGCTTCTCCAACTAATATTTAAAATTTGGTTCGTGGTGTCAGCTGATTGGTCCAGGTGGACTATCTTTACGTCAGTGAAGTGACAGTGGTATTTTACATTGCGCACAGCTTTATCAGTTTTATTTAACAACACAGCTCATGTTCTATTACCTATACTTATAATATATTTTTATTTTAATACATTTTATATTATATTTTTGTTAATGGTTGACTATATTTATGAACAACTGCAAACTGCTCAAAATTTATTTGCTAGTTTTTAAAAATCACATGCACACGCCTACGTGAGCATCAACACACAACATACATACACACACATAACACCCCTGATTTTCATTGGTATTATTATGATTTCTATATTGTGCACCTTTCTAATTCGAAATCATCAATTTTAACAAAACTTAAACGCAATGTTGTCGCAAGCAAAATCAAAATAGATAGTTGAGAAAATAACGTGCTAAAATAATCGGCAACACTGTTACTGTCCAAGTTTGAATAATAAACATGTCAAATCCACAATAATTAGTCAAGAATGACTATTATCCAAATTATGCCATTTAAGAATTATGTAAATTAAGACACGGTTCGAGTTCTTGAAGTGCTTTCGGTCTAGAATAACTATGAATAATTCGTAGCCATGGCAGATGTGAAAGAAGTTCAAGGGAGCGGTTTGAATGAGTTCGGAAGTGCCGAAGTTGCACAGGAGAGCTCCATAGACGAATTTGAAGCTCCAGAAGCGCGATTCGAGTGCCCAATTTGTTTGGCTTGGCTTAGAGATCCAGTACTTACCTCTTGCGGGCATCGGTTTTGCAGGAATTGCATTCGAGAATGGTTAGAGTAAGTGCCTAAGTCTTTCGGGGTGGTAGGTAATATATTTGGTTATACCAAGTATGCCTAACAAATTTACCTTTGCTTTCCATTCATTTTTCAGTAATAAGTTGAAATGTTAGTTTGATGCGAGCCTTCCTGGCAACTTCTTTCAGTGCCGTCTCCTATCGGAGGTTGGATATCATCACTGCTATTCTTACGTTATTTGCCGCTATTCTGAAATGATCTATTGAGCTACAACCAAACCAATCCCTCAAATTTCTCAACCATGAATTCTCCTTCTACCAATGCTCCTTCTTTCCTGTATCTTTCTTTGCATGATCAATCTAAGCATCTCATATCGCTGTCCTCTTATTATATGCCCAAGGTATTGTACTGTTCTTGCCTTTATGGTGTTAATTACTTCACATTTTTTACCCATTTCTCGAAGTGCATCCATGTTTGTCCTTCTTTCTGTCCATGATCTATCTTTTCATAACACCACATTTCAAACGGCTGCAGTTTGTGTTATGTGCTCCTGCTTAACCGTCCATCCTTCCAATCCATAAAACAGTAAGTACTGCAAACACATAGCACCTTAATGTTATCACTCTTAGTTCTATTGTGAGATCTCTGGAACAGCTAATAGTCTTCAATCTCACGAACGTATTTATTGCTGTTTCTATTCTAGTTCTTATTTCTGTTGTTTGGTCGTTATTTTATGTGATCCACTTGCCCAGGTATTTGTATTTTAAACCCTTTCTATTTGTTGGTCAATAAATGTATGTTTGAATTTTTATTTGGCCTTTATTAGGTATGTTTATTTTTAGTCCAAGCTGTTCACAAAATGCACCAGTTCTGTATAATCGTCTGTGGAGTTCTTCAGCGGAGCTTGCTATAATCGCTGTGTCGTCCGCGAGTCTTATATTGTTTATAATCTTTCCGTTCACCATTATTCCCTCATTTTCAGATAATAGTACCTCTTCAGAAATTGATTCACTGTATACGTTAATGAGCAGGGAAGGGGAACATAACACATCCGTCTCACTTGTGTTCTTATTTCCATTTCTGGGCGTTGTTATTATCCACTATTGTTTGTGCGAGTTGATTCCAATAAAGATTTGTTATTATTCTTAAGTCTGTTGTCGAGGTTTTCTGTTTGGAGAATTTTGACTAGTTTTTCGTGTCTTATCGAAGACTTTTTCCATATTTATGTCTTGACACCCCTGTGCTAACACATTTAGTGCAAAAAACGCTTCTCTTGTGACTAGTCTGTTTGTAAACCCAAATTGACTATCATCTATTCTTTCCTCTAGTTTTTTACTGATCCGTCCATAGTTCTGTATTCACAGCAGTCGTTCGCGTTTGTGGTTTTTGGAATAGCGCAGAAAGTGCAGAGTAACCATTAATTTTTAAGGGAGTTTAAACAGCCAAGCTTTCTCTGGTACTTCTCTATCTCTTCGCACTGTTCCCTTAGCAATTTTTCTCTTGCTTGTTTAATTTCATGCTTTAACTGTTTGTCTATCTCTTTTTCGTATTATCTTTAGTTTTAAATTGTCCCCTTTCATCCATTAACTGATGGATCTCGTCTGTCATCCATTGTTTCTTTTTATGTGTTTTGGGTGTTTCCCTTTGACTTCTAGTTATTTCTGTACTTATTAGACGCCATTTGCCTTCTATTTCAGTGCTTTGGAGATTTTCCTCCTTTACATTCGTCCATACTATGTTGATCTCCTCTGTCAAACGTTGTTTTGTTTCTGGATCTCTTAGTCTGGTAGTATCGATTTGGGTCTTTTCTGAACTTCTTTTTATTTGTTTAATTGTAAGCCTGCTCCTATGTCTTCACTTCTCGTAACTTGATGATCGTCACCTTGTGTTTTAGTGGATTTTAGGACATTTATCAAAATCTTGTAAAAGCTTTCTATGTCGTTATCTGGTTTATTAGCTGTTGGGGCATAGACCTGTATGATGTTCACTTTCATATTACTTGAACTCAGTTGTATCGTTAAAATTATATTTGAATATGAAGCGAAATCTGTTACTGATTTTATGATTTCGTTCAGAATTACGCACACTCCATACCGGTGTGAACCGTCTTGCCTTGCCTTCCTGAATAGTATATGGTTTTATTTTCTACCATTATCTTTCCGCCATTGGGTCACAAAATAAGTCGACATTTTAATTTGATGCGAACCTTCCAAGCAACTAAAAGTGCTTAATTATGTTTTAAAATTTTGTGTACTTAACGAAAGCCTATAAAAAAAATCGGCAAAGAGACGTTTTTTTCAGTTGTTCTAATGTAAGAGGCACATAAAAGCACCGTAAAAGCATGCGAAATCTCCACATATGAGTAGATTTCGTATATCCAATTTTATAGAATTTTATTTTTCAAACTGGTGAAAATGTTAGCACATACGTTTATCGTACAACTACACATATACCTATAGTATATTGTTTAATTCACAAGCACCCTTTATTTTAATGTTCATTGTTCATTGTTCATCTGATTCATGTTCTAAACGAATAGAAAACATCACATTACTTAGTGATTGCTATTTACAGGCGATTAGTACGTTTGAAAGGTAAACCGTTGGATAGTATTTATTCATACGAGGGTAGTGATAGAAACTCATGCCGAGTAAAGTATTAAAATATCCAAACAAAATAAGCAGACACCAACACTGCAGAAAAAAAAATTTAATGAATTCAATCGTAGATAAAAACTTTCCTCTAATAAACGTTTTAAAGTATTTTGGAGAAACTCTAAATAAAGTGGTCCATTCAGCCGTGGGAGCAATGCAAATGTTCCTATAAAAAAAATTCCCAACGATGCCGGCCCATATGTACGGTTGGCGACACATAAAAGTAGACGACTCCTAAGATGATTTTTCCGTCTTTTGGTAAATCAGGCTCGGCGAAATACGTCAAATATATGGACAATGTATGTCACAAACTTGTTTTAATTTGACAATTTAATTAATCTTTTTATAAATCGTGCTCTTCGATTTTCTAAATCTCTCAGCTACTGTTTTTGTTAACCATCCTTCCTCGATTATTGTTATTCGAGTTTTTCAAATACTTTTGAATGTCTCATTTTGATAATGGAAAAATTTATTTGTCAGTGTTATGTCATTTAATCAACAACTATTTAATCGTCTACTTTTATGTGACGCAGACTGTATATTATTTGAAGGAAATAATCGTAGAATGAGAGTTTTCAGCGCCCCATACATTCAAATTATATACAGTACCCGCGTAAATAATGAGGTCCCCCTTATATTTTTTGAACCTTTATAGCTATTGTCACATAATTTGGGACGACTACATAAGATAAAATTATCCATCTTTTAACATAAAAATAGTTTGACTTTTGACATAAAGTGACAGTCTTACGCCATTTTAGTTCGGTTTTTTCTAATGGAATAGATGGTCGAATGACACATTGTTTGGAAGGTGTTTATCCTCCCGTCAACCGTCAATTTGTAGATCATTTGTTTCAGTGGTTTTCGAATGACCAATTGCCAATTAAATATCTGATAAGTTTGTTGTTTTTTCTAGCGCTGTATAAAAATGTATTTTTATCTAAACCGACTTAACCCTAATTGTAATTATCACATACAGCAATGCCTACCCAGATATTTTATAAAAGTCGATGCGTGAATTCATCTCTAACTTTTGCTAATGTGTCTCTCGGTATTCCAAAGCCAACGTTCCTTATTCTTTCTCTCAGGTCTTCAATTGAATCAGGTTCTGTAACATAAACTTGGCTCTTGAGATATCCCCAGAGAAAAAAAGTCCATTGGTGTAAGATCGGGCGACCGTGCCGGCCATTCGACTGGCCACTCCCTAACTGCTCTTGATTAATGAAGGGGTGCACCGTCTTTGTTGAAAAACTGTGTCACTCTGAAATTCCTCCGGATTGTCCCTGACGATTCTTTGTATCTCTGGATAAATCTGGTTTTGTAACATATCTAGATAAAGTTTACCGGTAAGATTCTGATCAATAAATATGGGACCGACTAAATGATTTCCAAGTATGACAGCCCAAATATTTATTTTCTGTGGAAATTGTGTGTGGTTTTCTCGAAATACGTGTACGTTCACATCAGACAAATACCGTACATTCTGCCTATTCACAGTCTCGTTCAAAAAAAGTTGATTCGTCGTGAAAGCAAATTCGTCTGGCCTGATCTGGAAATTGTTTCGCACATGAGTTCACAAAACTCCATACTCCTATCCGGATCATCTTGAATCGTGATGAACCAGACTGGTTTTGTATGGATGGAACTTGTTTTTCTTAAGATATGCATTCTTCAGCAGCGTATGACTGCTGAAAATTGGTGACCATAGTGGCGATAATGTCAATTGTTTGGCTTCGGGAATAGCCTTTCTTCCAGTACTGTTTTTCCGGTCAACACTGCCAGTTTTCACAAACTTTTGGAGCAATTTTACGTAATACTTTCGGCAAATGGGACTGTCAAGGAATCTTTCGCTGAACAATCGTACCGCTTGATGTAAATTTCGACCAGCTTCTCCGTATATCCCCACCGCTTCAGTTCCAATGGGCGTCCATAACCATGTTTGCATTTAAATTAACTTGGGTACTTAAAAAATACCTAATAAAACTTGAACTTTCAAACGTAGATAACAATGATCGAAACTATCAAAAACTCTCAGAGTAAATAAAAAGTTACTACTTAAGGAATTCAAGCATTAAAATAAGGAAAAACTGTGGATTTAAGCGAACTGGATACGAAAACAAATAAAAATGCACTCAACAGTGTTTAGGGGCGTCAAATAACATGAGGTAAATGACAGGTGTGTAAGTACAAAGTAAGCGTCCCAAATTTTGTGACATAGCTGTTAAGGTTCAAAAAATAAAAGGGGGTCTCATTATTTAAACGGGCACTGTATATATATCCATCGGGTTACAACGTTGTCCGCCTCCCGATACCCAATCTCCAGCCGCCTTGGTCCCTCCAGGTCTTCGTCCAGTCCTCTCCCCTGGATCTGTCCGTCTATACCCTCTCTCCAGCTTTCCGTGGGATTGCTCTCTTTTTTTCCCTTGTGGTGTCCAATGCAGACTATCTTTGGAAGTCGGTCCTGGCCCATCCTCTGCACAGGTCCGTATCATCTGAGTTGTCCAGTCCTTATATAATCTACAATATCGTGCTTTACTTCCATCATTTTCCTTATCCTTCCATTTCTGATCTTTTCCAATCTAGACTTTATTGCCGCTCTTCTCCAGTAGTCCATATATGCAGCTTTTAGTGCTTTCTCTGCTCTATCCTTTATAACCCACACTTCACTACTATACGGTAGTATACTTTTAATTATTGTGTTGTATATTCTGTGTTTGTTTTCCTTCGTAATGTGTTTATCCCATAGTATGCCGTTTAACATGGGCACAGCCTTCCTGCCTTGAAGATTTCGTTTGACCATTGCTTCCTCCAGACTTCCTTCTTTCGATATTTTTACGCTCAGGTATTTGTATGTGCTGCAGCATTTGATATTCTGTTCATTATTCAGTTCTTGCACGATTTCTTGTTCCTTATTATTGAGTGTTTTGACATTCCAGGAGGCTCCTCTCATAAAATGTTTCCGTTTCCACTTTGTTATCCTTTTTCGAGCATGGTTCATCATCTGTATATGAGTGCAATTCCCAGGCGAGTTATCGGTTCTGTGAGCCTGCTAAGAGTTTTACACTAGGCAGGGAGCTAAACTAACCTTTCAACACTCCTATTTACCCGGACTTGGGACCGGCAACATGGCCCCTCGGCTACTCAATCCACCCAGAGTTCCTGACAAACTTAAAACACAAAATGACTTTTAAAGCCTCTATCTTAAGGGGCCTTAACTAGTATCTATCATATTAAAAAATTGCCAGATTATACCAGGTACTTTGGACAGTATAAGATATTTTTATATGAATTTATCATGTTATTTTTACACCTTGTATTTGTAACCGAAAGCATGCCCACATTTTCCGGGACACCATGTGTATAGTTCCACTTAGGAGATGCCTTCATCATGCGTAAAGAAAGTTACTATGTAGTAAAAATGTGATTCATAATGTAGCATGGTGTCTGAAAATATTTGCGTCAATTACATCTAATAATTATATTATGTTAAACAAAGATCTCATTTTCTTCTCCTATAGTTAATATCTGGTAAGTTGCCATAAAACATTTAAATAACTCGCTATAAATCTTAAACAATATGTATGAATCACGAAGTGATTTCATCGCTTTATTGTAAATTCCGAAATAATTTCATTCATATACGCTGTGGTTTCAGAAAGGAAGATGCGTGCCCTGTTGACAATATAAAACTGAATAAGGACAAAGACATTTTTCCTGACAATTTTACCCGGAGGGAAATATCACAACAGAGAACAAAATGTCCAAATATTCTGAGAGGGTGTTTAAAGGAGCTGTCTCCTTTAGATGTGGATACTCATCTATTAGTGTGCGAATTCAGGTAATGAGAGCAATATTCGGTAATTAAGTAGCTAACTAAAGAAGAATGATTTGTAGGCCCCCAGAATTGCCTGATCACGAAAAGCTTCGCTGTGTGTTTGTAAATGTGGGTTGTTATGAGAAGTTCGAAGATGACCCAAACTTACAAAGGCATCTTGAGCAAAACGTTCAGCAACATTTATTAGTATGTTTCCTACAATAATCGTGTGGTACATTCTATGTAATTATCTTTGTAGTTGTTATCACATGCCTACTCAAAAGCCACCTTATCCCAAAATAATAGCGAAAGTGCTAGTTCAGCATTGGCGCAGGCGAACTTTTGGGATCCGCCATCCAAGAACGAAGCATCTGGTAGTCCGTTAGGTGAAGACGAAAATTTGCAAAATCTCCTGAAGTAAGAATGTTTTTATTATGATTTATGGAAGATATAAAATACAACGAATGTATGTATGTCTTTTTAGAGCTTTATATGAAAAGATCATATTTTTGGAACAGAAAACCAGAGAACAGGATATTATTATTGCCAATATGTCGGAACAAATTTCAAACCACTCGAGCACAATTTCGAATTTCCAGCAGAGATATTGCAACGGCTGCTTCATATGGCATTTTAATGACTTCAAGAACAAAATCAAGGCAATGCGGGAAAATCCACGAATCATGCATTACAGCCCAGGGTTTTATACCAGTGCTTATGGTTACAAGTAAATATTTTTATTAACGACATTTGAATCTAATTTTAAGTGTTTTGGTACGAATTTATTTATGAAAGATTTAGACTGTTCTAATTAGAGTTTACATTGAAAGAAGTCCTTCAAAACATGCATATTGATTTAAAGTAAACCACCTACTTAGGTTATTTGAAAAGTTGGGTCGCATTCGACAGTATAAATAGCGTTTATAATTTTTTATTTGAAAAAACAATTATAGCGTTGATTAAAAACAGTATAAACACACATTGAAATAATTTTTAAGTTTTTGGGAAATTTTGATATTGATCTTTCGCTAACCAGAGGCAGGAAAAGTTTGCTTTGATTTTATTTGTAAATATTTGATACTGAGGAACAGTGAATATACAGGGTGTCAATTTGAAAACTTTCCACCCTTAATATATTTTTTGCAGTCGGAAAAATCGGAATAACCCGTCAATTTTATTTGTAAGGGGGACACTTTAAATTAATGTTTTTAGCTTCCTTATTTCAACCCCTTGGGACGGGTACATGCCAACCCTAAGGGTGATTATCTAAGATTCTAAAATCTTAGAATCGAGTGGCACTTTCTTGCTTCTTATCCTGAGATTTCCGAATAATCGCGTTTTAAAGTTGTAGAAACAATTAAACTTGCTTGCATTCAGATACCAGTTTTCAGGTTAGTGTTTACACAAAAACAATTGTATTGGGTCTCCTTGTAATACAAATGATTAGAAGAGTAGGTTACACTGTTAAAATCGTTGAATCAGGAAGAAAATCTAGTTTAAATTGATTTCTTATTTTTTATTTAGATCTTATTTATTTATTATTTTACAGCGACAAAAATATATTTTTTTATTTTCGGAAGAGAAATTTCTACAATAAATTCTGTCATCTACTTACGCACTATCTTATAAGTCGTTCAGGTGTTGTCAATTTTCTTGTTCTCAAGAATAATAAGGTCTGTTTTTGAACTCTTCCCTAACATTTCGGAAAACTTGACCGGGAATCGTCCGGCATTCTGCTGCAATTCGCGTTTTAAAATCATCAATATCAGTATGGTGAATGGTAATGGTGAAAAGGGCCTTTAAGGCCTACTCGCCGGACCCATTCGGGTTCCCCCCACAGAACTACTACTAAGAAGTAACTAATGTGAAGAGAATTGAACGCTATTTAAAACAATGTGCCATTCGACCCCCTTCCCATTAGATATTCTAAGAGCGACATCTACCCTTTCTGGAGGGCCAAACAAGAATGCAAAAAATATTAATTCAAAGTGTCCCCCTTATAAATAAAATTAACGGGTCCTTCTGATTTTTTTTATTTTTAACTGCAAGAAAGATATTCACGCACTCACAATTCAAATGTTTTACTTCTTCTACCCCTAATAAAAGAATACACTATTTACTCATGGTAAGCTGTACTTTTGGAACAATGACTGCATCGGATGACTTTAAATTTGGCTCATTTGTGGTATAGATGAGTCAACGTATCAAATGGAAAAATTATCACATTGTTACTACTTTCCAGGCTGTGTCTTAGAATAAATCTGTCTCCAAAAGATTTGAACTATTTGGCGGTTCTTATTCACCTAATGAAATCGGAGCATGATCAAGCATTGGACTGGCCATTTTGCGGCAGACTGACCGTTACTATAGTACATCCAATGTAAGTGTATGCTCATTTAAAGTCATGGGTAGTACTAATAAAACTGTAACGTTTTAGCCAGTGCTATAAAAATATGAAAGAAACGATGATGTCGCGACCAGAACTTCAGGCTTTCAACCGTCCTATTCACGACTTAAATCCAAAAGGATTTGGCTATACAGAGTTTGCCTCTATTGAGGAATTGTATGACCAAGAATTCATTACTAGCAATCAACTGATTATCAAAGTCAATGCGCATCCCGTATGATGTAAGTTTATCAGATACTCAGACTTTCTAATAATTGCTTGAACAATTAGTGTTATTAAGTAAAAACATACATATATATATTTGTTATAGATAACTCGAATAATTTAAACATATCAGAGAAAGAAAAAAGTATACAATGTGCAGTAATGCAAAAATATATATATAACGCGATATATCTATTAAGAGGCAAACTGTTATGCGGACTGTACCAGTAGAGTATTTTATACATTCCAAGTCTAATTTTATATACAAATTACTATTAAAAATTAAATAGTTTTAAGTGTGTAAAGAGGTACACAAACACTCACGAAAAGGACATAACGATTTATTACTTTGAGCATTTTTGTTTGCTTTAATGCAACGGATACATAAAAAAATATAAAATTTAATTATATTACAAAACTTAATTTTACATAACATAATTTGTGCCGTATAAACATAAATAAATACAAAGAAACACTTATGATTTTAACCTAATTACATACAGTCTCTGGGAACAACATCCAGATTTTGAAGCAAAATAATGACACTATAAACATATTACTTCAAATCGAAAAGTGAATTGACAAGGAAAATCATCAAGATTCTTTAAATAATATAACCAACATAAATTGACCAACTTTTGTTAATAAACATGTACCCGAGGGTTTTGTTAATTCCAATAATGGGTCACAACATTTACTTTTATCTTATACTATGTGCATTTTCCCACAGGATTGCCCCCAAAAACTGATTTTCTAATAACATAATAAAATAAGATCTGTAATGATTTACCTAACCTTTCTTTGGGTTCAGTGGAGTATTATCAATTATTGCAAACAACCTTGGATCTTCTCGATCCATTCTTGCGCGGACGTGGAATCTGACGCGCAAAAGTTGTATGTTCGACGACTAGTTCGTAGCTAAAAAAGAGAAAATGGTTTAGATCTTGCAAATAATTAAATCTGTCATACACACATCAAAGAAAGATTTGTCGTCAGTTTTCTTTGGCGGCCCTGGAGCTGGAGTAGTTGAACTTACTGACATCACCTCAGCTAATTCTGCAAAAAACTAGGTTAACTGGGGCGTAGGTAAGTATTTATCTAAACTTACCGATTAAACCTTTGCAATGAGAATCCTCTACTGCATCATAATAGCGAAGTTGATGCTTGATCGAATCCAGCACAAACCATCGCTGCTTCCAGCCCTTAAGGAGCGCACCTCTTTTATAGAGATATCCCTCATGAGTACGGTTTTCCGCGACGTTGGAAGAAAACTGCTCATAGTATTGTTGACTAGACGTTTGACGTGCGCTACCTATAAAGGCAATCAATGAATTGCTATTTAGAAGATTGCAAAAGAGGCAAACCTGAGCTAACAGAACCATTATCACCGCCACTGACTTGCATCGTTTGAGTAGCTGATGTGTCAGAAATCGCTTTGTACTTGGTGCAATTGTTGGGAACCCCTTCTGAACATTTCTCGTGGCAACTGTACCCACAGTCCATGCATCTCATGCCGGTCTAAAATTAATTACTTGGAAAAAAACATCTTACTTTAAACCTCGCGAAAGTACCTTAACGGGACCCCAAAGCAGATTGGAACACGAATCGCAATGAGTAGGAGTGGTGTAGTTGTACTTCTCGAAACGATGTGGATGGGAATATACCAAAGAAGCTTCAGCAGCTCCAACCATTTTGCCTGTAGGGCAATTACAATTAATTTCCGTTTTTAACTTAAACGTTTACTTACCCCTCATTAATATTTCTAAAGTGGAGCGCTTATGTACCAGTCTACCATGCGATCTCACTAGAGCTGTACTAAATGAAGCATGTCGCTAAAAAAATAAATTACCTGCAATATTAAAATTTAAAAAGGACAGTTGGCGACACATAAAAGTAGTCGACTAAATAGTTGTTGTGTAAATTTGACTTTCTTCCTTGGTCTGACTGAGACCAATATGATGACATAATACTGACCACTATTTTTCCTATTATTAAAATGCCGCATTTAAGATTATTTGTAAAAACGGAAATAATTATATTAATCGAGGAAGGATGGTCAACAAAAACAGTAGCTGATAAATTTGGAAAACCGAAGAGCACGATTTATAAAGAAATTAATTAAATTGCCAAATTAAAAGAAGTTTATGACATGTAATACCTTGTAAATATATATATTTGACGTATTTCACAAAGCCTGATTTAGTAAAATCGGGAAAAACCGCGAAGTGTAGCCAACTTACGTTTTTTTTTTGAAATATCAGAATAGGTGTGCACCTGGAAACACATCTTGGCGTTCAAGATGCATGAAAGTCACCGTTAACTTTTTCATTTTAGTACTTTAACTTTAATGCTATAATAAGGAGTTTCCTTGAAAGTACAAGTGCATGAAGGCAAATTCAGGTAATTTAGTTAGCAGACCACGAGAGCAGTGTTACGACGGTGATTCTGTCCGGTCCACAAGTCCGTTTATCAATTGGAAAATAACAATGTAAACTTTCATTATTTCATAAATAGAGCAACCAATGGTCAAAGTATGTTTCAGTTTTTAAAGTGAAAGTTATATGCGATTGCTTCCGGAAAAAAACGCGATTATCGCCTTTTTAAAACTTTTTCGTTGTTTATGCAAATAGCACACCTTTTCAAGCTTTCGCACCTCGATATTTTCAATAGGTATACCATTCCCGAGCGATTCTAGTAGTTATCTAAGTTACGTCGCGTTAGAGCCATGCCAATCTGTAACCCTCATGGTCTCAACTCTCTTAACTCTACTTAACAAATGCATCGAATAACAAAGGATACCCGAACACTGGCAGAGAAGCGAGACAATCCTTCTCTAAAAAATGCGACCACGCTGATCTTGATAACTACAGACCAATAAGCCTGCTCTCGCACCTATACAAGCTCCTCACGAAGATTATAACAAACCGTCTAACTAAGAAACTAGACTCCTACCAGCCAGTGGAGCATGGCGGATTCCGCAAAGGCTACAGCACGACAGACCATATACAAACTCTCCGTTTACTGATTGAAAAGACAAACGAATACATCAATATCCACTTAGTATTTGTCGACTATAAGAAAGCTTTTGACTCAGTGGAACAATGGGCAATTATGCACTCCTTAGATAACGCCAGGGTAGATATACAGGACTCCTCAAATCCATAATACGAAACATCAGTAATGGTAGTTAAATTAGATGAAAACCTGAAAACGGAACAAATAAAAGTGAAAAAAGGAGTAAGACAAGGCGATACACCTCACCCAAATTATTTACGCTAGCATTAGAAGACGTGTTCAAGGGGCTAAGCTGGGAGGAGAACGGAGTTAGAATTGACGGCGAATATCTCAACCACCTGCGTTTTGCGGACGACGTGGTTCTAATAAGTGAATACCCATTGGAACTGAAGACTAATCAAACTACTAAACCATGCCTTTCAAAAAATAGGACTCGAGGTCAACATCACAAAAACAAAAATCATCAGCACGCAAAACATTCAACTTTCAATCGGAGGGAATGAGATTGAAAATGTAGACAGCAGTTTTTTGTTTATGCCTGGGGCATTATAGTTTTTTGTTTATGCCTGGGGCATAAACTAAAAATTGATAAAGAAAATCGAAAAGCGGAAATACCGCGAAGAATAGGTCAAAGTTGTGCTGCATACATAAAACTAGGATTTATACTCCGGAACAGAGATAGCTGCATACTCCCAGTAAACACTTACGGGCTGGAAACAATGAGCCTCACAAAAACAGCGTACATCGCCTGCAATGCCCGCAGCGAGCTATGGAAAGACAAATGCTGGGGGTCAGTTTAAGAGATCATATGAGGAACGAAGAGATTAGAAGAACCGGAATAACGAGAATAGCCCGATTGAAGTGGCAGTGGGTATGATGACACGTGGCCAGGATGGACAACAATAGATGGGCATCTAGAGTACTGAAATGGAGACCATGGGAAAGTAAACGAAAGTTGAGTAGACCAATGAAGAGATGGGCGGCTGACGATATTAAAGCCGCAGCGGGACGAAACTGGACATAGAAAGCACAGGATAGAGATATCTGGAAGAAACTTGAAGAGACCTATCTCCAGCAGTGGAGAAACTACGGTTTATGAAGAAGACGGGGGGACACCTTGTATAGAACCGAGGGACAATTTTCAGTGCAGAGCCTTCTAATCTTCTTTTCTAAT